CCAACTGCAGACCCTCCAAGTGTCCCTATTTTCCTGGGACATCCCTGATTTGGAGAAGCCATCCCAGTTTCTGATTGATCCCGTTATGTCCCACTTCTCCTTAGGATGTCCCTATTTTCATTGGAGAAATGTTGGAGGGTATGGAGTTATCCAAGCCCCGAGCCATCTGAAGGCAATCCTGTATAGGGAAGTTTGTTTAAAAAAATGTTTGATGTTTTATTAGGTTTTTATATATGTTGGAAGATGCCCAGAGTAGCTGGGGCAACCCAGTCAGATGGGTGGGGTATAAATAGTAAAATTATCATTATGGAATGGGACACCCCTATGTTCATCAGATAAATGTTGGAAGGTATGCAACAGTCTTTAGCATATTCTCACCCCTGTTGTTGTCCTATGCCTTCAGCTCAACTCAAGATGGTACGTACATTCTCAAGTGGATGCCCATGATGTGGATATTGTAATGTTATAAACAGGAGGAAGTAAAAAAGGTACAATCACAAATGAGAATGAGAAAACAGTGCTGTGTGCTGCTGTTATGATGCTCAGTGTGCAATAACACGAGCAGGGGAGAGAAAGAGAAAACAATTGAAGACAACTCAATCACTTGGGCCAGACTTGAGTATCTGAGTAAAATTTGCTGAAGTCATTTATCCTTCTGGAGGCCAAGGATAAAATTAACAATCCAAGTTCTATGCCGCTCTTAAACAGGAATCTGAGTGCCTTTTTCTTTTCTCTTTTAGCCCATGACTCTCTTAAGCTAATTTGATTGAAGTGACTAATAAGCTCCATAGTTGTGCAACTCAGATGTCTCTCATTCTGGGGGTTAACCTTTCACAGAGGCAATTTTAATAACCATTAAAATGATGAGGGGGATAATAGAGAGATAATTGCTGAAAACTGAGAACTTTAAGGATGCTAATCGCAGCTTTCCTAAAAAACGTCTGGGGGAGTAAGCACATCTGAAAGCCTAAGTCATTTGTAACCAATTGAGGGGGAAATTAGAGCTGTGAAAAGATGGCAAGTTGAACTCAAGCACTGCACTGTCCCATCTTTGAACCCCCGGCAATGAGTCTTGCAAGAAAGCATTCCTTTGATGACAGGGAAAAGTTTGAAACCATAAGAGAACTTCCAAGAACATTTGAAGCTGGAAATGTGATGGATGCATTGTTGTGGAGATCACTAGCAATACCCAAACTTTCTTCCCCTTGAAATTCCTGAGATGGCAAATTAGGTGGCCGTTGTGTTAGAAGCCTTTAATGACTAGCGTGTTAGAAGTCAAGTCCAAAAGTTGAGAAGTGACACTTTCACATTATGTGGCATTGCAGCACATAAGCAGCTCTTTTTTTCTACTTTGGCTTAATTTTGTCTCTGGCTTACTAAACTGGGAATCAGGCAGTACTATAAACAGGGGCGGAGCAAGGGGTGTGTGGTAGGGGTGGACTGCCACAGGTGTCACCACTAAGGGGGGTGACAAAATGCCGGGTGGCACTCACCGCGGGGTCTGCAGCACACTCGAGCCACAAGTCTCTCCTGGGAGTGACATGGTGGCTTGGGCGCGTGCAGGCTCCATGCTGCCCCAAATGGTCCGCCTGCCACCTCCCCCTCAGCTGTAGGGCGACTGAGTGGGAGGAAGCAGACAGACTCCTCAGAGGCCCTGTGGGCGACTGGCCCTGCCCCGTGGGTAGCTGGCCCTGCCTCCGCGTGCTGCCCCAGGCGCCTGATCAGCTTCCTCCTCCACTGACTGTAAAGGCACTGGAGAAGCAGCCAAGAATGTAGTTCTCTTGTTTAGGAGTGTCACAGGGACCCACTATTTCTGCCACCTATGGTCCTGCAGTGTAGACGACTGGGCTGAAGTGGGTAAGTTGGGATCTGCTACTGGGTCACAGGTTAACCTAAAGTGCTTCGACACACCCACCGTAGAAATATCTGGAACAAATGCACATTTGGGCTAAAGGTTACTTCCTGAAGTTTGAGACATTGAAGGCCAATGGCCTTAACTCACCCTATCCTTTGCAAAATATTTTTTTTAACTACTTTTGAAAAAAATGTTGTGTTCTTGGAAATCATATCTCAACAACTTTGAGAATGAATTATACCCCACCCGTCTGGCTGGGTTTCCCTAGCCACTCTGGGCGGCTCCCAACAGAATATTAAAAACATGATAAAACATCAAACATTAAAAACTTCCCTAAACAGGGTTGGGCCAAACTTATTCAGGGACAGCCCCATGAGGCCATGCTTTCCACGAAGTCCCGAGTGGTCCCTTGTAAGGTTGTGTCGGCATGGATGTTAAAATCCCCTAGGACAACCAAACTAGGTGTCTCCAGGAGAACATTCACCATGACCTGAAGCAGCTTGGGCAGCGAATCCTTGGTGTATCAGGGAGGTTGGTACACCAAAAGGACTGTACTGCCCCTCTTGCCCAACTTCCAGAACATGCACTCAGAAAACTGGGTCTTCCCAATAGGATGCCTGGTATAAGCTAATGACTTCCTAAAAGTCACTGCAAACCCCCCTCCCTGCCCATATGACCTGAGTTGCTGTGCATAAGAGAAACCTGGTGGACAAGCAGCAGCAAGAACAGGCCCATCTGCTTCATCCAACCAAGTCTCTGTTACACATATATAAGAGAAATTGTGTAACTTGTGGCACTGGGTTTTTTTCTTGGTCACACAACTGTCTCATTTGTTGTTCCAATGTAATTAAAGATAAAACCAGAACGTGAGTGGCTACTGGCTGAGGTTATCTGGGTAAGGATCTTAACTCTTAGGTCCAAAGGGGTGGACTCTAAAATTAACCCAGTGAGGACTCAGCAGGATCAAGTGGTCACAGCATGCTAACTGTCTGAGTGCTGGATTATAAACCAGGAGGAGAAATACAATTGAATATACTGGAAAAAGTGATTGCGGGCTGGATAGAACTCTGAGCAGGAACACACACAGAGAACAACATTTGGTTGCAAGTCTCGCTTGTTGATTTCTAAGTATTTTTTTTGTCGCAGTCTTCTTTTGTCTGTATCTCACGTCACAAACAGCACATTGCAGACTAGTAAATGGAGATGTTCCAACATTTAAAAACAGCTGTGTTCTATACAGCCTATGCACAAATGCTTTGGTACATAACCATAAATTTCCAGTTTCATCTAAAGCATACAGAGCTTCTCGTAAGCTTTCAGTAGTTCAGCTCATTTTAAATTTTGGAGAACAGCAATTCTGCCACTGGACTGATGTTCCCACCCAACACACGAGTGCGTGCATGTGAGTGAATTGGCTGTTGAAGGACGGCATCTTTTTCTAGAAGACAGTAAACTGTAAACATTTTCAGATGAGGAGGCAGCAGTGGATTCTGATATTTTCCTTTTCCTTTCTTAAATAAAAAAAATAAAATTAAATTGTTGTCACATCAAGGGATGGCGGAGCCAAACCAAGCAACACCCTATTTGCATTTTGCTTTTCCCAGTCATGCTTTAATGGGAACTATACCACATTACAAAGGGACGCGGGTGGCGCTGTGGGTAAAACCTCAGCGCCTAGGACTTGCCGATTGCATGGTCGGCGGTTCAAATCCCCGCAGTGGGGTGTGCTCCCGTTGTTCGGTCCCAGCGCCTGCCAACCTAGCAGTTCGAAAGCACCCTCGGGTGCAAGTAGATAAATCTGAAAAAAGGGGGTTTGTTTAGGAATAATAATTTCAGATAATTTCAGGTTAAGAGTTCCGTTCTTAACCTGAAACTGTTCTTAACCTGAAGCACCACTTTAGGTAATGGGGCCTCCCGCCACCACCATGCTGCCCCCGCACGATTTCTGTTCTCATCCTGAAGCAAAGTTCTTAACCTGAAGCACTATTTCTGGGTTAGCGGATTCTGTAACCTGAAGCGTATGTAACCTGAAGTGTATGTAACCCGAGGTACCACTGTACTACATTCTTTCATATATGGTGCACATGTAAAAAGGTAAAGGTGTATTAGGAAATGATTTATAATGAATTGGGAAAAAATGTTTAAAACTACTTCCCCCCACCCAGAGTCTGCTTTGTTGGGAATAATCCAGACAGAAGTTCCTAGGAGTCAGAAAAGGTTATTTATGTATGCAACAACTGCAGCCCATATTTTGTTAGCCCCAAAATGGAAAGTGAGCGAGGCACCAACTAAAGAGGATTGGCAACTTAAGGTGACAGAATATGCACAACTTGCAGATTTAACATATAGAATAAGAGAGCAAGAAGAACATACATTTAAAGAGTGGAAAGCATTTATTGAATATATGGAAAACAATTGTATACTACTGAAAATGCTGGCAGCATTAAGATAAATTCAACAGAGTAAATGATTTTTGATGGATGTAAAAGTGGAAAACTGATTTGAATAGTTATAGTAAAATATACAGCGATGTATGATATGTAAGGGACACGGGTGGTGCTGTGGGTTAAACCACACAGCCTAGGACTTGCCAATCAGAAGGTCAGCAGTTCGAATCCCCGTGACGGGGTGAGCTCCCATTGCTCAGTCCCTGCTCCTGCCAACCTAGCAGTTCGAAAGCACGTCAAATTGCAAGTAGATAAATAGGTACCGCTCCGGCGGGAAAGTAAACGGCATTTCTGTGCGCTGCTCTGGTTCGCCAGAAGTGGCTTAGTCATGCTGGCCACATGACCTGGAAGCTGTATGCTGGCTCCCTCGGCCAATAAAGCGAGATGAGTGCCGCAACCCCAGAGCAGAGTCCATCACGACTGAACCTAATAGTCAGGGGTCCCTTTACCTTTATGATATGTAAAATGAACCATGGAAAGAGAAGAAGGGGAGTCACTGGATATTTTAGAGTGTGTAAAATGTTTATTTGGAATTGTAAAAATGAACATTTGATGATTGATGATGATGATGAAGAAGAAGGAGAAGAAGAAGAAGAAGAAGAAAAAAATCTATACTACCCTTCATCTGCGGCTCACTGGGCGGTTTACAATATGAAAACACAAAAATGCATAACATAATAACAAACAAAACAATATCCCCCAGTTTAAAGGCCAAAGGTCTGGGAGAAGACCTCGTAGCTACAGATATATAATGAAGGCACCAGTTGAGCCTACCTGGAGAGAGCATTTCACAAGCAAGGAGCCACTGCAGAGAAGTCCCGTTGCCATGTTGCCACCCTCTGGACATTTTGTGGAGGGGGCCCACGAAGAATAACTTTAGATGATGATCACAGGGTCCAGGTTGGTACATATGGGGCAAGGCAGTCCTTGAGGTATTGCAGTCCTGAGCCATTTGAGGCTTTATAGGTCAAAACCAGCACTTTGAATTGAGTCTGGAAAATAATTGGCAGCCATTACAGAGTGCACAGTCCTAACTCCTTAAATCTCTTTCCTCTTCTACTTAAGCACCACACACATGAGCACACATGCACAGATCACATTGGATTCTGTCGCTTCTAAGAACCAGGGCTTTTTTTCAGCCAGAACTCACTGGAACTCAGTTTCGGCACCATTGCCATTATAAGAGAACAACAGAGGCGTTCATGGTGAGTTCTGGCACCTCTTTTTCTAGAAAAATAGCACTGCTAAGAACTTATCCAATTGGCTATCTTGCTTGTTGTCTCTAAGAAGCCCAACTATATTTTCTTTACAACAAGGTTTAAAGAGTCCCCAGAGCATATTAGGCCACTATAATAATAGATTCTAAATTGACTGTCAGTCTAGTGTTTATATTATCTCAAGGCATACATATATATGACTGGCTATCCAATTATAAGCAACACGGTAGGCTAATAATATAATTACAATAATTTTATATCACTATTGAATTATGTCGTACCGTAATTACAATCAGATAACATACAATATATACATGGTGACACCCAGTGGCATAGCGTGGGGGTGCAGGGGGGGCCGGCCGCACCGGGCGCAACATCTGGGGGGGGGGCGCGCTCGCACTCGCAGCTCTCTGCCCCTACTAAAATCCACGGGTTAGGGGGCGCAAATTACTTGCCTTGCCCCAGGTGCTGACAACCCACGCTACGCCACTGGTGACACCAACTAATGTGAGTTAAGAAAATATCCCAAAATGAGGGATTTTAGGCTAGTATAACGTCATGAAGAATCACTAAAGCTTGAGGCAACATGCCTTGCAATACTTAGGCAGTATTTGCAGAGAGTAAGCTGAAGAATGTTGGTGCTCCAAACACAGCAAAAGGACAGTCCTTCCAGGATAACCGACTGTTTCAATCAATGTTCTTCCTCTGCTGATTGTATGTTATCTGATTGTAAATTAAGACATAATTCGTTAGTGATATAAAAGTATTGTAATTATATTATTAGCCTACCATGTTGCTTTTGGATTGTCAGGTTGTTCTGTTTGTAACACAGGGGGTCTTTTTTGTTTATCCAGTTATAAGCACAGTCAAAGGTTGCAAGAAGATACAGGATTTGTGATCATGTCAGTTTGTCAAAAGACACAGAAAGCTCCAGAATAGGAATACATAAAGTCAGGGCAATTGTCAATTTTGATCAGTAGTCCATACTTACAGGATGTGCAAACCAGAATTTGGTTTGCTTAACTATGCCCCGACCCCCTGGTTATTCCCTAATTAACAAGGGGCAAATCTCCCTGGTTTTCCCAGCTGCAATGTTCCTTGTAGAATCCCCTTGTGAGCAAAGTAATGCATTTCAAAGTCTTTGGTTGCTATCTAAAATGAGTACTGAAACAACAATGAAACAAGACGACCTTAGGCTGGCTTCGAATTCCCAGAGCTTGATATAGAAAAGTGGGACAGAGATGTCACTTTTAAATATCTTATCTCGTTGCTTTAGAGCACATATTTAACTAAGCTCAAGGACTTAATTGATGCTTATTAAAGCAGCAGAAGTCGTAAAACTTTATTAAGTTTTCAGTGGCTGGAGGGTGCTCAAGCAGCAAAACACACAGTTATTTAAACTCTTGTGTTTGCACAACATTTTGTGTGTGATCAATGACTGGGATGATTAAAAAACAACTCCTACATGTCAAGAGGAAGAATTATTTAAAATAGATTTCTATGTGGAATTTGGTGTTGTGTTGCCCATGCTGTCCCTTGCCCTTAGCAGCAATTATGCCCAAGTCGATCATGCACTCTATGCCCTGTAAGACGTGATCCACAGCTTTGTGACGCATCCTGGTCAGGAAGCAGAATACAAACCTCAATTTCTCCTTGATGAGCTAATCCTTGCAGTGAGATTTTACATGGGAGGCATGTTGAAAAGCGAACTTATGAAGCAGTTGTGGGGAAGGCTGCACCACACACTTTTCTAAACATGTGTGTCAGCCCACATTTTCTCAGATCATCTCCCATCACAACCCACTTTGATGGTTACTGGGATGAGCCCAAAGTCTCAAAAGGAAAAGAAAAGTGGGTAATTGAATTCACCAAAAGAGTGTAATAATAATAATAATAATAATAATAATAATAATAATAATAATTCATTTCTACCCCACCCATCTGGGGTTTCCCCAGCCACTCTGGGCGGCTTCCAACAAAAGATTAAAAATACATTAAAACATCAGTCAATAAAAACTGCCCTAAACAGGGCTGTCTTCAAATGTGTTCTAAACATCAGATAGTTGTTTATTTCTTTGACATCTGACGGGACGGCATTAGAATTCCTGCTCCATGATTGCAGTCATGGGATTTTTGTCTATCATGTGACGATGTATGTATGTTTTGACTCCACAGAGTGGGAAGTGACGGAGACAGGACGTTTGTGTTACTGTGTTCTGTGAAGTGGGACTATTGTCCTTTGTTCTTTTTTCTCTTTGCTGTCTGATGCTAGAGAGAGAGGGAGCCATGTTGCAGTGCTCCGTGTGTGTTTATATGTAAATAAAGTAGATTAGCCAAAATGTTAAGTTGCTGAGGTCTGTTACGCAAGCTGCAAAGACTCTGCGGATCCCTAAGTGTGCCGATGTCTGTTGGCATCAGTCGCTGTGATGTTCAGGCAGAAGAAAGCTTTTGAAGCTCCCAAACGATCGACCAGGAGAGAGAGAACATGCCAGTTGGGAATGTGTCTCTGCCAGGGTCCTACTCAAGAGTAGGACGAGCTCCTGACATTCCACAGGGCAGGCACCACTACCTAGAAGGCCCTCTGTCTGGTTCCCTGTAACTTCACTTTTCGCAGTGAGGGAACCACCAGAAGGCCCTGGATCTCAGTGTCCGGGCTGAACGATGAGGGTGGAGATGCTCCTTCAGGTATCATCTGATCCCCTCTCAATGATGACCATGGATGGTTGGTGGCTCTGCTGTTGGAGAAGAACATTCCAGGGGTTGAACTTGGGATCCTCTGTATGCAAAACATGTCCTCTGTTGCTAATTTATGCTCCTTCCTCTCTCCAGGCCCTACTGGAGAGGGCTTAGACTTGAAGCGAATGGTTAGATCCTTTTCCAACACGCTCAATGTGTGGGATGCATGCTGCAGAGAAAGGGGGAGTTATATCTAAGATCAGCAAGGAGCTCCTGCATACCCTGTCAGTCATGCACAGAGGGAGTAGCAGCAGACCTTAGTCATTTATCCAGGACGAAATACCTATTTTCACAAATTTACCAATGCATTTTCACCTGTAACATATAAGCACCTTGCCAACTGTCCATTCTGCATTTAAACAACACATACTTCATACAGTTCCCTGCTGTTCCCAAATCATGTCCGCTCCACTTAACATTTGTCGCTATTGTTCAGACTTGCTTAATTTATTAAGACAGAACTGGCCACCACATTCCCTGTTACTATGGTTATGCAGCCATTCAGCACAAACATGTTCCCCCCGGGAAATACAATTGTTCATTTCCCTCTTAATAGCCTCTTATGTGCCACTTAAATTCACTGAATAGCAACATTGCTGTGACTTCTGGTGGCATGTAATCCTCATTCTCATTTATTACAGGTCTCTCTCTTCGTTTGAAATTAATTTGGCATTTCAGGGTTAGCATCTCCCTAGTTTAACTTGTTTTTGATTGAGATGATTTGCATTATAATTCTCTCTATTTTCATAAATTCATAATTGCAAGATTGACGGGATTTTTTAAATAAATAAATGAGAATATTAGAAATAATGAGGTTTTTAAAACCTCATTATTTCTAATATTCTTATTTCCCGGTCAGAAGGCTTGAGTACAATTTTATTGGTGGTAGAGGCACAATCTAGATCAGGCATCCCCAAACTCGGCTCTCCAGATGTTTCGGGACTACAATTCCCATCATCCCTGACCACTAGTCCTGTTAGCTAGGGATGATGGGAGTTGTAGTCCCAAAACATATGGAGGGTCGAGTTTGGGGGTGCCTGATCTAGATAAAGGTGTTTGGTAAGAGAGAGAGAAAGGAGAGTGTGGGGTGTAGCCTACATACATATTAAAAAATGCTGTGAAAATGCTTCTTTAAAATGTTTTGAAAAATATATTGAATTTGCCATAGCTCACAATCGTCATCTAAGTGTCACATTCGTATGTTGCACTTTACAACACACTTAAAATGTTTTATTTGCAGCTGTATAGCTGAGTCCTAAGACTGGTGCAAAGATGAGCCAGAATTTAGGAAGACTGTGTTGCTCAAGCAAGGATCCTATGGAACACAAAGTCCTTTATTATTTTATTCCTTCCTGGAAGGATCCAGTGACCGTCTTTATGAATGGAGTCAGTGCTGGGCCTGAAAATGCTTCTCGCTGATGGCTGCCACCTGCCACCTGCTCACAACGTGAGGGGGAAATGCACAGAGAATGGAAGGACACAGTACACTGATGTGAAGAGAGAAAACTTTCTTCCTCTTTCATAATACTGGGGTGTAAGTCACTAAAAGAAATTGATTTGCAGTAGGTCTGGGAGAGATAAAAGTTGACATTTCTTCACGTTGGTGTAGTAATAGTTAGTGTATCAAGACACAGTGATAACAGCTCACTTAGATGTCTTTCCAAAAAGAATGAGCAAATCTCCTTTGGGGGATAGATCTAGGTGGATGGTTAAGTCCAGTTGTGGCATTTGCCCATTCATTTAGAGCCTGTCTGTACAGTGGGAAAAGAAAGGGTTAAAAATGTAGACCAATAGGAAAGCTGGAGGCAGAGCCTACATGTGTATAAAAGGGCTTAGCCTGAGGTTTGTTAGAGTTGTTGGTGGGTAGTGGGTTGGTTTTAGTGGGTTGGCTGGTTGGGAAAGGCAGTTGGAGAAGCAGTTGGCAGGCAGTTGGAAATAGAGAGACAGTTAGGGCAGTGGGTTCTTGAGTGTGGCGAGGTAGAAGAGATAGAGAGAAGAAAATAAGACTAAGAAAGTAAAGAGTAACAACTTTTGGAATGCCGTAAAAGTTTGTTTGAGTCTGAAATAAAATACACTCTCTTTTATTAACTTGAGAATCCAACTGAGACGGAAGTGATTTTACCGGGGAGGACCTGGTTGGTGGCAGCGAATTAGTGGTGTACGGGTCAATAGTCCATGAGACGACGGGGGGCTCCATATGAACACCACACCAGTCAAAGGCAACTATGGGGTTGCAGCGCTCATCTCGCTTTCAGGCTGAGGGGGTCGGCATTTGTCCACAGACAGCTTTTACAGATCATTTGCCAGCATGACTAAACTACTTCTGGCGCAACAGGATGCTGTGATGGAAACCAGAATGCATGGAAATGCCTTTTACCTTCCCACCACAGCAGTACCTATTTAACTACTTGCGCTGGTGTGCTTTCGAACTGCTAGGTTGGCAGGAGCTGGGACAAAGTGGGTGGTGCTTTGATCTAAACCACGGAGCCCCTGGGACTTGCCAATCAGAAGGCTGGCAGTTTGAATCCCTGTGATGGGGTGAGCTCCCGTTGCTCTTGGATAGAGCTATCCATAGCTGTGAGTTGTGATGGCTAACAATGAATATGAGGGTGCACAGATGGATGGTTGGGCTCCGAGTCACTCTGAGCCAGAATGCAGAGGTACAATTTTTGTACTTCTCTGGGCCTGGGCCCTTTGGGGGGCCAAACTAGTCAACTCCTAGGTACGCTGTATGCATTCATCTCCCAATACTGATAGGCACCACCAAAGTGGTACAAACCAGCCCAAGCAGGAAGCGGATCATAAAACAAACTATGCACATGCCTATACAGCAAGTGTGATTTCAGAGGGTCTGCTCAATGTTGTGCCTTAAGAGGACTGGTCTGTCAAAATGTGCCATTTGCAGAAGACAACTTTGCCTTTAGATGAGTTAGTTCGCACCCTGCAAGTGCTTCAAATGAAAGCATAAAAACATGCCGCAATACAGAGGTGACCTTGGGCTTTTTCATTATTATTTATTGTGATCTCTCTAGGCATCCTTATTTAGTAGTTATGAAGGTTTTACTAGTGCACTGTGAACCACTGTATATTCCGGTGAGACAATTTGCTTGCAGTTCAAATTAGGTTTCAATTTGGGTTCCTCGCGTCATATTTTCTCCTGGTAATTCGAGATGGCATATTCTTTTACCACAAACGAGGAGAAAGCAGTTTATAAATTTAAGCAAGTTACAGCCCTTCGAGCCCTTTCCTATATACTTCAGTTCTCATTTCCTTTTCATAATATTTTCCCCACTCTCCGTGAGCTCTGGAGTTATCGAACATTGTAAAGGTCTAGCTGGATGCTGAAACTGCAGGAGCCTTACATTGGACTATGAGATGATGACAGTAAAAACCAAAGGTGACACATCACAGAGTCAGCCTCATTTGACCATGATCTTGCTACATGGAGACCAGGTGTAATGTGGTGGCTTCTACACAGGGAAGAGCTTCTATAGGAAATTAAATCAGGGACCTTCAAAAGCACATGTTACTATAGCATGGTGAGAAGATGTATTCTGCGGTTAAATATACATCTTGCATAAGTCGGTCATCTTCTGCCAATGATCACCAAATTTGAACACATGTGGCCCTCCAGATGTTGCTGGACTACAACTCTAGCCAACAATGACACCACCAGCCATTGTTTATTCTGTCTGTGAGGCGTTCACAAAGTAAAGGAAGGATTGAACTCTGATTAATAAGAATACACACAGAGGCTTGAACCAGCAAGACTCTGGGAAGGGTGCGTATAATAGTCTCTCTCTGTCTGTCTCTCTCCAGCCCCTGGCCCAGGTCGTTTTATTCACAAAAGAACTTTTTACAGAGTGTTCGTAAGAACCACTCAGATTACTTCTAAGCATTTCAACAAACCCACATGGGGACAAGTTAAACTACTAAAACTAATTAAGCACAAATATTTCTGGGGTAAACAAAGAACAGAACTACAAAGGAGGACATTCGGCAACCCTGGAGGTGATAAACAAGCAGTATACATGATAAGGAGGATGGTCAGGAGGACAGCGATCATTATCACCTTCATGTGAGATCTGTTTACTGGCCCTAAAATTAACATCCTAAGATTAACATATTAGAAAGCTACTTCAAAGAAACTTGCCCACTATCTTTGATGATCCAGGATGCCTGCCTGGCGAAGCAACTGGCAGTGTATGTGACTTGTGAAGAAAGAGAAATGGAACAGGGATGCAGAGGTGTAGATTGACCAAGAATCATATCAAAATAGTTTAAACCCAGTCAACACAATGCTTTCATTGCTGACACAGATGGCTTACTCTATATTTGTTATAATTCCTCATAGCAATCCCACCTGATCACTACATGTCTGGGGCTGCTAGGAGTTGTAGTCCAACAACATCTGGATGGCCACAGGTTCCCCAGTCCTGCCAAAGGGATTGCAGTGGCACGAGAAGTTCAAGAGACTGCACTGTATTTCCCATCAGCACCATGCAGCAGAGAAAAGTTTCATGCAGAAGCAGTTCCCTCTAGCAGATATTTCATCTCTTATTTTTTCATACATAGATTTAATTTTTTACTTTGGATTTAGCAGCAGTCTCCGTGACTCCATCCACCCTAGTATTTAAAACAGATGTAGTCATTTTGCCTGGGGAAGCTTATTTTCTTCATCAGATGAAAGGTGTTAGTCATTATTTTATCTCGCAGCATGGATGGAAGTCTGTGCTCCTCCCTGCCCAACCGCTGTTTGCCTTCTTTCGTTTCATTAAAATGCATTTATAACTGGAATTTTACCGGGTGTCATTCAACAGATTAAATAGAATCGGTGATACCTGCATCAGACAAAATGAAATCTGTCAGCTCGTCTGGATAGGATTAGCAGTTAATGATTTTTATCAGACACCGTCATCAGAAGTGACGTTTGTTAGGACATGACAGCACAAAAATGGAGAACGTCGCTGGTCTCAATCAGACAGATATCTTACAGGCACCCATTTGTTGTTTATAAGTCTCTGCAAATATGGTGATTTATGCTGCTTTACATGGGCAGGTTATTGACACTGAGATCAGAGTTTGTTGGTGATGGTGCTCATTCATTATCATTACCATGGAAAAATATTAGGGTAATTTTGACCAATAAAATAAACCTAAGTTTGCAGGTAGGAAGTAAATGACCTTACAGTGCATCTTCTGTTGCAGATATTAATATTGTGCAGTTTCAAGCAACTGGAAGCATAAGAACTGACTCCTTTAGGAAGAAATAATTGTAGAGGACCATAAAAATATCATTTAAAGTTGAAGAAGAAGAAGAAGAGTTTGGATTTGATATCCCGCTTTATCACTACCTGAAGGAGTCTCAAAGCAGCTAACATTCTCCTTTTTCTTCCTCCCCCACAACAAACACTCTGTGAGGTGAGTGAGGCTGGGAGACTTCAAAGAAGTGTGACTGGCCCAAGGTCACCCAGCAGCTGCATGTGGAGGAGCGGAGACACGAACCCGGTTCACCAGATTACAAGTCTACTGCTCTTAACCACTACACCACACTGGCTCTACCACCACACAGTGGTAGAACTCTTCAAAAACAGAACATAAGCATCAAAGATACATCAAAAATATCCATATAGTATATCGTGCTGTCCAGCAAAGGCTCAGCTTAGAAAATATGAAATAATACAAACAGACCTTTAAGCAGACATCTTTCTCTTTAATAGCATTCATTTCCATGGAACTGTTTTGCTTGAGAGCTTCATTTACATCCTTCTGTTCTGTGTCCCATTCAGAGAAAGACACTCAGCCACCACCCTTTCAAGATGGCAAATTTGCAACTCAGTACCTTTGTCACCTGATCTAAGGTTACAACAGCTTAGCAGGCTTCCTCAAACTCAGCCCTCCAGATGTTTTGAGACTACAATTCCCATCATCCTTGACTGCTGGTCCTGCTAGCTAGGGATCATGGGAGTTGTAGTCCCAAAACAGCTGGAGGGGCAAGTTTGAGGAAGCCTGGTTTAGAGTAACAGAAAGCAATCAGCATTTATTCAGTAACCTATTGAGGAGCCCAGAGTCCTTTAGAAAACAATGGAGGAAAACCCCATTGTTCCATTTTAAAACTTCATTAATACACATACATTTTCATTCCTTTGTGAATTTTACTTAACACAGTTAATTAAATCAATTATACTTAACATCTTCCAGTCTTAAGCAGACTTGCAAGAAAATCCATGAAGTTACGAGTGCACAAGCAGTTTTAATGGTTCATCTGTATCTCCTTCTTGACCAGGGACTCAGCTACACAAGTAAAGAAAAAGTGTTTTAAATGCATTATAACACTGTGAAACCAGATGGCGCTATGGACTTCCATCTGTCAGCAACATGATTTCTCATTATGAGATTTACAATGTGTTTTCCTGAAACTTTTTTTTTTTTAAATGTGTCTAGATCCAGCCTAGGAGAATCCAATAAGTGGATGAAGTTTATTTGGGGTCTGTAGAAGCTGAGAAGCTACCTGACTGCAGTTCTCCATCTACAATGCACCATATTTAATTTGGCAAGAGCACTGTCACAGAAAAGGGGCCCAATGAGGGGCAGACAGGGTGATCCAACTTGTTTATCCCTCTCTCCAACGATATTTTTTCCATCACTTACAATAATGCGGTATGTCTCTGGAACAGAATGATGGTGACACTTTTATATAATCGATTTATAATTTCTTTATGGCAAGCCATGTTATGGGAAATAAATTACATATGGGATGATGCACTCAAATTCCCTCATTATTGAACGCTCATCACAAGGTTCCACATGCAGAGTCATCAACATTTATATTACGACATACTAATCGCTAAGTGATTATATTAACAAAAAGGGAATGCTGATTGTTCCCGTGGGGGTAAGGATGCAATCACACACCCTGTTTTGCATTGAATAAAATGATCAAAGGGTTCAGTTTTTGTTTTATCTTTGAATGATTGACATACACTGAAGTATTGTGGCAGCAGATTGAATATTAAAGGGAATGTGCGGTTTGTAAAATAATAGGTATCAAACGACTTTACTCGCAGCGAAGGAAATGGATTCAAATTTGATGTCATTTTAGAAATTGCAGAGATACTGTGAGGAGGGATTAGATTTTAGATCAGTGTATACAATAGTCTTTGGATGGAGTATAATAGGTGCTCTGATGTTAGGACTGACACAATAAACCTTAAAGTGAGATTAAGGGCTTTATTCTTTATTTTTATTTTTTTCTGGAGAAGAACCAGGATTGTGAATTACAGCCCAGATGTTTTGAATCAAGTTGTCAACAAGACAACTTGCCTTTTCTCTTTCTGTGTTCTCCACATGGCATGTTTTAGGTTTGCAGAATAGCAGCAGGTTAGATGGAGCAGATAAGAGCGTCAGCAGCACAGAAAAGGATTAAAGGCATGTTTGATGCAGACAAGCAACATCCAGAGAAAAAAAAAGCTCTAAGGGAATGCTAAGAGGAGAACAATTATCCTATTAATATAACCAAGTAAATGTTAACCTTGGCTACAGCTGCAGTTAAAATTCAATATTATTGAATTTTCAGGTCAAATATTTGCATCTCCTCAGTATTTGAGCCATGCAATATTTTGTTATTACTGGCCATAGCATCTTGGAACAGGCTGCAATGCAGAGCCTCAGAAGCGTCCTATAGATATTGCACCACCTCGTAAGCACTGATTTGTTAGAAACTTTCATGCTAGAGGGAATTGGGGCCGACTGACCCATGAGGCAAAGTGAAGTGGTTGCCCAAGTAGATCCAGCCCTCCAAGGAATGCAATCACCCACCGCTGCTGCAAAGTTTGTCAAAGCACGAGGAAGGATGAGGAAAGACTTAAGGGAAAGGCAAAGAGGAAGGAGGAGACTTTGTGCTTCACAGTTGTTGTGCAGCAGCCCAGAGACTTTCAGGAGAGCACCCATATTGCCCTATTCCCATATTCCTAGCTCTTATATCTGCATAGTATTGGGCATGCCTTTTTTCACTGCCAATACTATACAGATATATGAGCTGGGTTCCTCTGTCCTATACTACATACCGTATTTTTCGCTCTATAGGGTGCACCAGACCATAGGGTGCACCTAGTTTTTTGGGGGGGGGGGAATAAAGAAAAAAAATTATTCCCCCCCATCCCCCAGAGATCCTGCTCGCAGTCTTGGCTTCCTTTTTAGCCGCGGGGCTGGGAGTGGGGGAAACCCGAGCTTCCCCCAACCCCAGCCCCCAGAACGGGTCCGGGAGCAACGGCGAGGTTGCGCTCAACCTCGCCTTCGCTCCCGGAGCTTGCTGCTATCAGGCTTGCGGATAGCTTCCCGAAGCCCAGGGTGCGCAGCGCCGCACTCCCCAGGCTTCAGGCTGCAGGCAGCTATCCGCAAGCCTGCAGAGCCCGGCGGGCACTCTCGCCGCACTCCGAAGCCTTGTGGATAGCTTCTTGAAGCCTGGAGAGTGAGAGGGGTCGGTGCACACCGACCCCACTCACTCTCCATGCTTCAGCGAAATCCTGCATTCACTCCATAGGACGCACACACATTTCCCCATCATTTTTGAACGGGAAAAAGTGCGTCCTATAGAGCAAAAAATACGGTAAATTTCCAAGTTGCTCAGAACAACTTTATATCTCCCTGCTACTTCCAGATGAAAACCAAGATGTTATGTACTCAGTTGCTTGATTTTGAGCTGCCATGATGGATATTTGTCAAAGGATGGTTAGCACCATGAACTAGACCCCAAATATAAGAGTTGTGCTTCTTCATGCTCCTTATAATTGCTTTAAACCTTTTTTCTACTTTTTTAAAGTTATGTATGATATAATCACCTTTAACTACTACTTTTAATCCCTTACCTGTAATAATAATAATAATAATAATAATAATAATAATTTATACCCCACCCATCTGGCTGGGTTTCTCCAGCCACTCTGAGCGGCTTCCAAAAAAATACTAAAATACTGTAATACATCAAACATTAAAAGCTTCCCTAAACAGGGCTGCCTTCAGATGTCTTCTAAAAGTCTGGTAGTTGTTGTTCTCTTTGACAGCTGGTGGGAGGGCGTTCCACAGGGAGGGCGCCACTACTGAGAAGGCCTTCTGCCTGGTTCCCTGGTTTTAAGTCTTATGTTCAGTTGATCTGTATGTTTTATCGTATGCTGGTCCTTGACAGAAATAAAGTTTGATACTAGGGTTGACATATTCCCCAAAGTGAAAATCCGGACATCTCTCCCCCAAAAATTAAGTTTTGAGGCTTTTATTGGATTGTTTTAAAAAATCACCCTACTTGCCATACGTCTGGGTTTTCCTGTACATTTTGCCGATTCAGCAAAAATCCGCTCAGGCGCAATTTTGCCAGCCCGATTCCCGGACGTATGGCAGCCTATTTGATATTGAACCCACTCTGTTGTGACACAGGCCTTCTGACACTTGTGATGCTCTGCACCAACCACTGTAGTGCTGGTACCTTTTGCTTCGGGTGCCCAAACCTCCTGGGCCAGCCCTGATCTCAACAATATATAACGGTGAGAAGCCAGGCCACTCCTGTGACTCTTTCTCTCCTTCAACTGTGACCCAGCAGCAACTATTCAGTTAGGCTGCAGAAGAGCAGAGGGAGAAATGAGAAGCAGTCCTATCGATGGTTGGGACAATCTTGTTTCCAGTGACTTGTAAACTGCTCTGCTCCTTTTCAAATTGGAGAAAAATGACTTTCACTGTGCAAGGGTAAGGGCCACGCTCCATCCACTTTAGCTCTGGCATATGACACTCAGAAGGTTGTCCATGAGGGGATGTGGGCTTTGGGTAGAAAAATGTCTCCCACCCCTGTCTTAGAATACCATGTCCGTTATAATAACCACACAAGGAAGTTGTTGCTCTGTACCAATATGGATACATGTTGGCTATGTGAATGGTGTAAGGTTACTATAGTTTCTTGGTTATGGTCTGGAACTATCGTGTAAAAACTCAGATCATTTGTAACTCATAACCTCCAGAAGGGCACAGGATTAATTGTGATAGTTCCCTTCCAAGGACTCATGGATCTTACCAGAACTCTCTGAGGGATTTATTCAACGATATCATTGATCATTCAGTCAGTGCCCTGGGACATGAGAAAAAATAGCCACTTAAATATTTCTAACAAAGCCTTTCCCACCACTTTGGTGAGGATTCTTTATTTGGGATGATGAGGAACACCAAGGAAGAATGAACCTGGTTTGAAAAGCATATTGTGGCTTGCAGACAGAGAATAAATAAGAGTTTCCTGGTTCGGATGGAATGGGAAATGGATTTAAACAAACCATAACAGAAGTGTCAGAGCTGGAAGAGGAGGAGGCAAGAGGCAACGAGCCCACGAGCATGACACTAGACCTCTCTCAGCCTAACAAACCATGGTTTGAAATTAATTAATTAATTAATTAATTAATTAATTTAAAAAATTGTCCAGTAGCGCCTTAGAGACCAACTAAGTTTGTTCTGGGTATAAGCTTTTGTGTGCATGCATATACCCAGAACAAACTTAGTTGGTCTCTAAGGTACTACTGGAGATTTTTTTTTAAAAAAATATTTATTTATTTTGATTGCATCTGACCAACACGGCTACCTACCTGAAAATAAAACCATGCTTTGTCAAGCCAAGATTTTGCCATCTGAATTAGCCCATAAATTTAGTAGATGGAGAAGCTGTAAAAGTCATTATGGAGTGTGGATTGGGGGGCGGGGGCGGTTAAAAGTAGGGGCCATGAAATAAAAAGTTCATGCTCATTTATAGTCTTTATTCTACCAGTAGAAATTATTAGAGGCTTTTATACTGCATCATGTACTCTGTTTTCTTACGACATTTATTTGCATGTTAATGTTTGCATTCTTATTTTAAGCTTGGTTGTTGGGCTGTCTGCGATATCTAGCCAAATCACTGTTAGAGGATACCCATTGAAATTGATTTTGATGGGTCTACTCTGAGGAAGACTTTGTTGGACACCATTTATACCCAAATACTATCATCTCTAGTTTTTTTCTGGTGGCTCAAATGCAACGTGTTAACCTTCTATTTTGTATGTATTTCAGTGGAATCTATGAATATTAATCACTTTCATAAAATTCTGCTGATGAGCTAGGGTTTATGGTCTGCTTCTTTTTTTTTATTAAAAAAACCACAATCTGGGTCCATGACAAATTTCTACATTTCCTAGATCCAAGTATAAGAACAACGGAGTCACCTGCTTTGCTCGCCATAACTGATTAATTCCAAGGTAAGCAGACATGACAAATGTTATGCAAATCTTTCTCTTTTGCTAAGAAAAGCATTCTTAATTATAGGAGAGCTGGCTCTGGAATTTTCCTTCTCCTCACATCTATGCATATTTTTGGGTGTGTGATCCATCAATTTCAGGTTTTGACAGAATCTATGCTTCTCATTAAATATATGCTAGCATTAAAAAGAGGTTCATGTTTCTGGCATTAAAACAAAATTATTCAGCATCAAAAACTGTACTGAATGCACTATTAACAAACTTCAGGCTACGGTGAATGGAATGAGAAATAGCAATATGTTTAATAAGGACCTTAATAGTTCATTTGTCAACGTGTGCATTCGGCTTTTCTTGTTCCGTGCTGTCTGGGGAAAAGACAATTATTAGCGTTTTAAAAATAGTCAAGAGAAATACCTTCAGGAGATGCTTGTGTTTAACCACCTGTGTAAGACAGAATTTGTGTTGGATACTTGCTCTTCTGATGTACAGCAACACAGGGAGTTGCTCAATATTGTCTACATTGACTGACAATTTCTTTGGCGATCACTCATAGCCGAGTAAGATTGTCTTCCATGAACACGGTTTTAACAGTGAGTCAGTGAGCGACAGTGGAGGCCAATTCTGGATCCACACATCCTTCCACAGTGGGGACATAGGTTGGGACTCCCCGGGTGGGAGTTGATCATGGTGAGGGTTTGCCAAGCGTGCCTTCCTCTTAGCATGTTTCTCCCTCTCGTCCTGAGTTTGTGCTTCTTCAAAGTCCATGATGCCTTTGGTGCAGGGGCGGAGGAAGGGGTGTGTTGTGGGTGCGGGTCACCCAGGTGTCACCATTGAGGGGGGGTGACAAAATGCCGGGCAGCACTCACCTAGGGCCTGCAGCACATCTGAGCCACACATCTCTACTGCAAGAGATGCAGTGGCTTGGGAGTGCAGGCTCCGTGCTGTCCAAATGGTCCGCCCACTGCGTCCCTCCCCAGCTGTAAGGCGGCTGAGTGGGAGGAGGCAGGCAGACTCTGGAGGCCCTGCGATGTGCCTTGCCACTATGCGCCCTCGTGCTGCCCCATGGGCGGCTCGTGCCACGCCTGGGCACGCTGCCCCAGGCGCCCTAGCAACTTCATCCGCTACTGCTTTGGTGTAGAATGTTCTCCAGTTGGAGCACTCGCAGGCCCCTGTTTCCCAGTTGTCGGTGTTTATACTACATTTTAAAAAAGATTTGCCTTGAGAGAGTCACTGACAATTCACCAGGATTTCAGACAAGTACCTTTTACAGCCCTGCATTTAGATGCCAACCTGCAACTATTTTCATGCAAAACATGGCTCCTGCCACTGAGGAACAGCCCCTTCCTTAGGACTTTATTCTAAGTCTTCAAGAAGACTTAAAGCACAATCCAATCCCCCAATCCTCCATGGGGTGAAGCTAGCCCAGAACAGCTGTGCTAGTCTCCTCCCACTGCATGATGCTAGCCCAGAGCTCCTTGTCCCATACACAATAAAATTTGAGGCAGGCCTGTGGCAAATGGTGGGATGGCTCAGTCAATGGAGCATGCACATCTTAACCTCAGGGCTGTGGGTTCAAGCCCCATGTTGGGCAAAAGATTCCTTCCTTGCAGGGGGTGGACTAGTTGGTGCTCAGTGGCTCATTTGCTTCTGGCTTGCACTCTTTATAAAGATTTGAGGAATGAGGTTATAACCCCTCTATTATTGTCCATGCCGGGTCGCTCAACGATTGCTAGTGTGTCTTTTCTTTTAGCAGATCAAGATGACCAGGTGACAGCAAAAACTGCAAAGTTTTTAGCGGGGGCAGTTAGAATGAGATCTGTTATTTGATTATTGATGTAAACCCCCTAAATGTATTTTTTATAGTTATGTTTTTACCTCTATTTTAGTACATTTTATTTTATTTTATTACTATGGCTAGTGGCTGATGCAAATAAATATTAAGATCTTTAAGATGGTCCTTGGTCTCCTTTCCAACTCTACAGTTCTTTGGTTCTATGGTTTTATGAGTTTATGCAAATTAGGCTTTCCATATTCCTAAAGCCCAAAACCCAGACACCCCCCATACACATTCCCCACCACCATCTCACATCTCCATTGCTTGCCTTACATTTGCTTCGGCCTCCTGCTCACAAACAATGTGAGGTGCAAAATGCCTAGCCCTGCTTCTTCTCTTTCTTTTCCTTTTTAACTTTTTAAAAATGATTTTCAATTTTATACATTTCAATAATTCTACAATCATTTTAACATTTTAAAACTCAACTTCCTTCTCCCTCATTCTGCCATTCCTTAAATTATTATTTTAATATTTTCTGCATATACCAAATTAACTTAACTTTATTCATCTAAATATATACTCTTATAAAAAAAACCTGCAGGTTATTACAATAATTCTGCCAGTGTTCTTACCTGTTTACAATAAGCCATTTCCATTCTTTTATGAAAAGTTTGTTATCTTGATTTCTTATTTCTCTGGTAAATTTCTCCATTTCTGCGTATTCCATAAGTTTTTGTATACATTCTTCATTCGTTGGGACTTCTTCTTCATTCCATTTTTGGGCAAGTAACATTCTTGCCACTGTAGTCACATACATGAAAAAATTTCTATACAGTTTGGGTAGTTTGGGTAGTTCTGCCCCTATAATTCCCGAAAGGAAAGCTTCTGTTGCTGCTGTTTTACAAATGTTATTTTAAACATCTTTTTCAATTCGTTTCTTGGTTCGTCCCTAGTCTGCTTGGCAACTGGATCACTCTCTCTCCTGGCTGCCGAGCAAACTAGGGGCGAGCCAAGAGGAAGAAAGCCCAGCGCCTTGCTGGGAAAGGACCTGACTTCTGCCACTGCCACCAAAGGCCGTCTGGCAAGCCTGCTGCGTGCACCGATTTGTGGAGACCCTTTGCAATCTGGTGCATGCACCAGACTAGCCAGATGGTCCTTGGCGGCAGCTCCTCCTCTGGCGAGGCATTGGAGTTGCCATACGTCCAGGTTTTCCCTGACATTTTTTATGATTTCCAGAAATTCCGCCCGGACACTTTTTTTTGTCAGACAGATCCCAGACATGTCCGGGGAAACCTGGACGTATGGCAGCCCCATGAAAATGGGGTATTCTGTGGAAAAAATGGGGAAGGGGCTAAGCTAGCCTGAAATCTGCTGGCTCCAAAGCCAGTCCCTCGGATATTAATTCACAACATTGGGCCCAGTCACTGCACCAACTCTAGGCTGAGTTCCCCAGAGTATTTTGCTTGCCCTTGTGCCCTGGCAAGCATGGGCCATGGGGCTGCAGATATAGCAGGGTCCATGCCATTCTGTCATACCCCATGGTTGCCTGGTCCAGCTTTGGATTCCCCAGCCATATAATTCTTAGAATAACTCATCCCTTGTAAAACAAACATTGCTCTGATTCTATTTCAGAGGGAGAATAGAATGAGAAACAGCTCGGATGGTATTAGCTAAGTTTTACTCAGAGTAGGCACATAGAAATTAATGGATACGGCTTAGGTCCATTAATTTTAATAGATGCACACTGACTAAAACTTAAATGCTACCCCTGAACTACAATTCGGGTGAGCTGCTCCGTAGCTGAATCAAGACAAAGGATTTTGAAGCACATTACAGGGGTTAATTAGCTTATCAATGCCATGATATTTGTGCAATTGATGACGGCTCCTTGCAAATTGTTCTCTGCCCCACCACAGGTATTAATGCACTAATCTTGGCAATGCTGAATAAATTATCACCACTTTGCTACGGGAAAAGGTTAAAAGTGTGCCTATTTAACCTACAATTAAGTTCTAATTATCACTGACTGTATTATTTAAAAGCGCATCATGGGCACGGAACAGGTGTAGGGAACTTTTGTTGTATTGCAGCTTCCATTAGTCCCAGCAAGCATAATGGAAGGCCTGGGATGATGGGAGTTACAGTTCAGAAACATATCAAAGGGTCCCCACACCCGATACAGAGGATTTCTCCTTAGGAGCATAAGTTCATCATAGAGTTGACATTTACCTTCAAGAATCTGAGCTCTTTGTTTCAAAGCCTAATCAATAGGGCCGCCAGATGATTGGATTTTCCTGGACATTACCGGAATTGACGTCTGGGGGGGATTTCTGAAAGGTGGCACTCCTTTGTCCTGGATCTTAGGCAAGTTAATTGAAAAATTTGGAGTTTTCCTATTTTTTTAAAAAAAGCAGCTCAACCATTTTGGGGTCTTCCTTAAAAAATATTTCAACAACTTTCAAAGTGTCCTGGTTTTTACTTTCCGAAATATGGCAACCCTAACTTAAAGCAAAATATGAAGACAAGAAAGCGTGCAAGATTATACACTGCTGCCAGTACAGTGTTTTTTCCCTGTTGCTTTTGAAGCAGGATCACAAGCTGAACTTGAATCTCACTCAAAGCCTGATTCCCTCTATTTCTGATATTCAGACTAGGTCAAATGGCACTGTTATTGGCCAGAGCAGTTAACAGTGGGTCTCGGTTTCAGGAAGATAGGAGGGCATAGGGAACTCTCCTGTGATGAGTCTTTCCAACATCACATTTAAACCAACAGCTCTAATACATTTTCATAATAGGTGTCTTTGAAGACTAGAGTTATAAACCTGGCATTTTCTAACATGTCATTCATTCAACAGAAGTGACTAGGAGTGACCTGGATTACTGCTAGATAAGCCAAAGATAATACGGTATTTAATCACTAACAATATTGCTTTTTGTGGAACTAATACTGGCTCACCAGGAGTTTCAAGAAGGGAAAAATACTGCAAACCGAGTCAGATAATTTGTTCATACAGTCCCATTCTTTTCTACTCCAATGGGCAACGGCTCTCTAATATTTTTAGCAGAAGTCTTTGCCAGCCCTGATATTTGAGTTTACTTTAACGTTAAGCTGTAAGATATTCACCTGAGAATGTGTATGTATTTGTGCTGTGTGCAAATGGATTCTTGCGGTTCTCCATCACCATTGGGGGAAAAAGAAATTGGGGGCAGGAGGAATTTCAGCAGACTTCCCCAGAGGGATTGGCAGCTTCCGATTGCCAGAAATGACACCTCGACAAAAAGTGGTTGCTTCGGTTTATGTGGCATAATACCAAATGGCTTTCAGATCTAAAAAAGAAGCAGAAGCAGAAGCAGAAAAAAGGCATGGCTACAAAATGGCACAGGCAGTGTTTTTTTTCCTTTAAAAAAACGTTTAGGGGTACTCCCATTTTGACTCAATAAAATCACCATTTTAGAGTTCAAATTGGGAAAAATGAATACAGGAAATGGACAAAAGTACAAAGATTCACAAAATGTTTAGGGGTATGCGTCCGCCCAGAAAAAAGCACTGGGTGCAGGCATGCCCACACTTCAACCTTCCATCAAAGGGGGTGTCACCCAACACTGTACTTCTACGCTCCTTCACAGAGAGAAACACTTTGCACTTCTCCCCTGTCCAGAATGGAAGAGCAGGTTGGCAGCCCACACTGGCATGCAATGAAATGTGGATATATTTAAGGATATGGGTTCGGGAGGGGAGAATCTGAGCCAAATAATCTCTCGTGCATTGTGAGTTTTTGAGGTGAGACCTTGTATAGGATGTAAGGTAAAGGTAAAAGGTAAAGGACCCCTGGACGGTTAAGTTCAGTCGAATTTGACTATGGGGTGTGGCGCTTATCTCACTTTCAGGCCAAGGGAGTTGACGTTTGTCCCCAGAGAGCTTTCTGGGTCATGTGGCCAGCATGACTAAACTGCTTCTAGCACAATGGAACACCATGACGGAAAGCAGAGCACACGGAAATGCCATTTACCTTCCCGCCAAAGTGGTACCTATTTATCTACTCACACTGGCATGCTTTTGAACTGCTAGGCTGGCAGAAGCTGGGACTGAGCAACGGGAGCTCACTCCGTCGTGCAGATTTGAATCACCAACCTTCTAACTGGGAAGCCCAAGAGCCCACAGTGCCACCTGCTTCCTATAGGAGGAATTCCTATAAGAGGCCCTGGCAATCCCACTGATGCCTGTGAGCACCATGTTGGCAGCCCCTGCTATAGGAGGAAGGGGCAATTGACCTCAGCCCCTTCCACAGAAGGGATCCTCTACTGGATCTCAGTCTCATCAGTGAACAGAAAGAGACCTTCCATTCGGAGATGCTAGGCATTCTCTAAACTTGTTTTGTTTTTAAAGGAAGCAGTATTTGAAAAGAACCCTCGCATCACTTCCGACGCCATGCACATGTAAAACCATTTGCCACAGCTGCACAGACGGAGCTTTGACTTTCGCAAGACGCATGCGGCAGGCAGCCTTTTATTAATACGTCATGTCAGCCAGGGAGAAGCGTGTGCACGAAACATATGCGTTATAAAACAAACAAACAAGGAAGTGACTGCCGAGTCAATAGCGCCACAGCAGAACAGGAGCTATTGACTCGATGGTGTTATTAGAGTGCCAAAAAACGGATAGCTTAACTACAGTGCAAAAATCTGAAACAGATGCTGCTGAGTAAAAAGCTGTAAAATTTAATTACTCAAGGCAGGCACGGAGGAGAAAGTGAGTGTGTTTATGAGTAGTAGATTAATTTAATCTTTCGGGGGTTGAAATCGTTATTACTTCAGGTTTCATCAGAAGAAGGCAATGCCTTTGTACATTTCAGCAGCAGGGTTGGGAATAATAATGCTCTCCCCTTCCCCAAGAGCAAAATTGCATGTACCAATAAGTATTTGTTTCTGGTAACAAAAATAATAATGATAAGATGCCAGAGCTAGTTGGCCAGGCCAGTCATGTCTCCCAAATAATCTCTTAAGTACCCTTTATGCATTTGAAGAGACTTGCAGAAGGTATGTGACGGACGGGCTTCGAGAAATGGCAGGGCACATCAGGGCCTTTCTTCGCACTCACCACCCTGCCCCACTCCAGGCCTGTCTGAATAAGTTACAGTTATGCCAGTGTCAGAAGAGTGGTCCCACAGCTCTGCTCCCCTCCAAGCCAGCCAATCCTGGTTGGTTGTGCAATGGAAAATGGCAGAACTCTGTGCACCCTGGGTTATATTATCCATACCATCTTTTCTGCACAGAGATGCTGAATCTCAGTAATAAATTATAATATTTTTTTTATACCCCGCCCTTCCCTCAGGGCAGCTAATAACAAATTTAAAACACTTAATTGATGCAACAAAAAACAGCATAAAATACAGTATAAAACGTATTCAATGCATGCACAGTTCTATCGAGTTTTGCCTCGGATGAATATAGCTCAAGCAAAGAAACAGGACAAATTGTGAGGAAAGCTCATACAACCTTGAAGACTCATAAGATTTCTCAAGGCTTGCTGAAAAGTTGTCTCTGTGGGGCTGGTGGGAGCAGGGGTAACTTATTTTCATAGTGGTAAGTGTTGTACCTGAACAAGCAAACACACAAGTCAGGAAACTGCAGCAGCAGCGACTTCATCCTGTTACTTGTTTAGATTCTGTTCATGGGGCAGAAAACCAGGAGCCCCTGAGACTCCAGAAAATTCTGATTTGGATTGGCCATGAAAGTGTTTCCTCCCTGATTCTCTAGTCTGTGTGTGCGTGTGTGTGTGTGTTTATGCACCTTTTTGAATAGTGCAACCAAATTGTCACTTTTTTGTGCATTGTGCAGAACCCTGACCTACGTACACCTTGGGAGTATTTGGTTTTTTTTCTTCTTCCCCGTCCCTCTTTTTGCTTGGCTTATACCTAAAGGCCAAAGCATTTACATATTACATATTACACCTGTGTATATATTTGTCAGAATCATCATATTCTCACAAAATCAGATGGTCTTTTCAGCATCAGTGAGCAACATAGCAGTCGTACTGATGTCTGTTTAGGAATAAGGCCTATTGCACTGAGTTAGGCTTATACCCAAGTAGGAGGGATTAAGATTGAAGCCAAAAAAACTAAATGAACCATGATGGAAACAATTTTAAATTATAGCAATGTGATTTCCCAAAAGATTAAAAAGAACTATACCCCCCCCAACAAAAAAATGGTGGACCTTGAGAGGAATCATTTTCATATGTTATTTTTCCATGTTGACCATGCCCGTTAAAAAAAACATCGGTTTTCTCACTTTACAGGTGTGTGTTTGCTATGACTACCCCCGAAACTGTGAGTTTCACAGTCGCATAACTTGTAATTGTGAAAGGGATGGGAGAGTCGGTGACATTCATTGCTCCCTGTCAAATCAAATTGGATCTCTGTGTTTTTCACTTTTTTTTTCTTTTTAATGAGCCGTATTTACATTTTAACATGTTCCCGTAGAGCCTCATTATCAGGAGATGTTGCAGAGCTTAGAAGCCGCATGGTAAGTAACAAACTGCGTAAGACTAAATTTGTGCAAATGTGAAAGACGTACCGTTACATTGTAAGTACATTTTAAAATATATTTGTCACTGCATTTCTGTCGATGCAGCTAAAGGACGGGATTAGCTCCTGATCCCTTATGAATGTAAAAAGATTTTTGTAAATCTTGTCTCGGGATATCCTTTTGGAGACTCCCCAGGTTATCTAGGCGGTGAAAAATATAATATATGGATGTCTAGTCAAGTTGGTTTGTCCTGTTATCATTTTGTGGAATTACCACCAAGGCAGAGCTTGACAGGATCTTTCACCTTGTAATACAAAAATTGCTTCGTGTGGCAGAGATTCAGCTATTAAATACAGGCACCAGATAAATATACATCCCAGCTTAAAATACTAAAGGGTATTATGGGGTATTGTTTTCACTTTGTCACATCAACAGCTACAAAGCTTAGCTGCAGCTTAACATTTAGAACTCCCCAGTCATAAAACTCTTCCGATAACATATTATCTCTATGCTAGCAGTGCTCAGCAAGTGCCACATTCTTCTTTGTCTTCTTTCTAAAATATACAAATTCAACTAATGCTTCTGTAAAGGTTTTTTAGGCTTCAAACCTCAAACTACAAGTCGAATAGGCCTCTATTGACATTCTGGGACTATTATGCTTCCACCCTTAAAAACAGTCATCACAAACTGGACCTCTGTGCTGCCTTTTCTTTCCATAATATGTAGCTTGCCTTGACCCTCCATTCAAGAATATGGACATCAGACACAGATATGGATTAAACTAAAGCCACAAGTTTAATAAAAACTGATCTATGACACAATTCCCCACTTAACTGCCTTCTGCCCCACTGTAGCACAGGTTCATCACATTATAGGTGAGATTTTAGGAAATTAACATCTCTTTGCTGCCATCCTGGCCCAAAGCTAAACCCTCTTGATGTTTCCTTGCTCATGAAATGTTAAATGTGTGCCCAACAGGGGAGCCTAGCCACATCACCCATCAAATAAGTCCCATAGGTTTTTAAAATAGCCTTGGACCAAATTAGTGCTCTCAGGTTCCCTTTGTCCAGTTTGGGGAAAACTGTTCCAATTTGGATCCCTCTGAAGGCATCATTGCCAGATTTGGGACGATGGAGAAATTGGTTTTGGTCTACATTTGGACACCATTTTTAAAAGATGGTGGACCCATCGGTTCCAAACGGCACTGATTTAGACACCTCTGAAGATACATTGTTCAGTTTAAGGTTCCTCTGAATATGGTGCCCAATTTGGTGTCATAATTCCCAAAAGCAACCAGTAGGTTTTGGTCTACATGTGGATGCCAACTGATATAGCGGAACCTTGGTTCTCAAACACCTCCGTTGTCATACATTTCGGTTCTTAAAAGCCAAAAGCCCGGAAGTAAATGCTTCCATTTTCGAACATTTTCCAGAACCTGAACGTGCGACGTGGCTTCTGCTGAGTGCAAGAAGCTCTTGCAACCAATGGGAAGCCATGCCTCAGTTTTTGAACATTTCGGAAGCCAAACAGGCTTCTGGAACAGATTTCATTTGAGAACCAAGGTACCACTGTACCACTTTGAATCAGGATGGTGGACCTAACCATTTGAAACTGAACCAATTTTAACTATCCTTTGCAGAAATGGAATAGGGCTGGGTATGGGATTAAGTCAAAGCCTGAAAAAAGTCTGGTGGATCTGGGCTTTGACTGAATGAGGTTGAGGCAGCCTTGGCTCACCCCTAGGTTGGGCCACCTTGGGCAATCTGAGGCTATCAGGGGGTGGGGTATTGAATGTGCAGAAGGTGAGATGGGTAGCTTCCACAAACAACAGCAATAGGTTGCTTGCAAGAGGGATTTCAAACAGCTCCACACTGTGTTTTGGCTATGCATGCAAGGTCCCAGTCAAAATTGGCACTACTGAACTCTCAGTTGCAATCCTGCTGGCTGTAGGAGTCTTCATTGCCAGTGTCTTACCTGCAGGAAATTTGCTGGGAGAGCAGACCCAAGCATAATTGAATATGGTGTGACCAAGTCCAGAGAGGTCCTAAGGAGGAATGAGAAGACCTAAACTTGGGACTGGCAGGGTAGAGAAGAGGAGAGAAGAACAGGCTACTGACCTAGTATTGAACCAGGGCCATGATCAGCTTGAACTCACCATTGGCTATGGTGACAGCTTATACAGGAGTTTGTTTGGGCTGCTGGTGAATGAGCCGAGTCTCACTCAGGCAGCCATTTTCCACAATGCAGCAGCAAACAAACAAACAAACTGGAATGATGGTTGGCTGTGCACAGCCCTGAAAATTAACAACTGTATATACAAATCACAGCATTTTGGGTTTTTCAGAATTCCCAGGCAACATCAGGCACTTGCAGCTAGAGCCCTAATAAAAGCATTTCTTAGTCTTTAAGATGCTAGAGCACTTTTTGTTGTTCTTGTTGCAACAGAATAGAAAAGATTCCTCTCTGGAGTTTGCAGGGTAGCTGTGCCCTAAGACCTGTGACTCACTTGGGTTTTAGAAATCCCTTTGAAATTTGAGTGGTTGAGTTTCAAATGTTGATATCATCTCCCCTCTCATCACAAACTTCATTTTAATCTCATAATGGGAGGAGACTGCTGAATGGAAATTCTGAGTGTAGGTGCACATAATTTCATGCACAAATACATATGTAGCTCTGTACCAAAGATTTATATGTCAAGCAAAAAGGGGGGGAGGAGTGTAAAGCCAGGGGACATAATTTATATTTGTGAGATTCTGTTTTTATGATTAACATAGGTGACACAAGTTTTCACGATGAAATCAAATAGGACTAGAAAACTCCAGACTCATTAATTTTGTCAGCTGTAATATAAATCACTAAAAAAAATTAGAGGTCTGATTAAATCAAAGCGATGTTCCAATGACAAATGCTTAATTAGTTTATAATCCTTCCTCATAGTGACGTACCTGGTCAGTATTAGCTAGCTAATCTCTTTCTTTTTAAATGGGCATTATGGAAGCATCAGCAGTGATTTCCCTAATCAAAGCTGTGCTGAGATTTTTTCAGTGGAAGCAATTTAGTCTAGACTTCAAGACAATCAGTGGATATGAGATATAACGTCTTGGTAGACAAGATCTGCTTAAAGTAAACCCCTTGCCTGTTTAATACAATATACACAATTAGGGAAACAACCCCTGAACAAGAAGGAGCTGCTGCTGATCTGCCTAAACCTAAAAGAGTAACAATAAAACAGTGAACAGGGTGGTGATACAATGACTACTGCAATTGACACAAGATAATATCACCAAGGCAACTACTGTATCTGTAGTTGCAAACAATAAACCTCCTTAAAAATGGCAAAAGTAGTTTCTTTCCCAAATAGGTTTTATCTTAAACAATAGCAAACACAGTTCACTTGTAATATATCAGTGGTTCAGTGCTCACTTCTTCTCTTTACAAAATAGATTTTTTATTGAGCAATTGCAAATGCAATCACTGAGCTGTCAAAATCTGTTGTAACAGAATTGCACTCATCTATTTATTCTTGTAGAGATACCCCTGCTTTAAACCATTTCCATACTCTTCTCTTGTATGTCATTTACTACAAAGGTGTGTGTTAATTATGCATTTTCAACGTATTTTTAATTTTAATTTTCCTTATTCTACTTGTTAATTCAGTGCAATTCTGTTGCAATAGATTCTGACAGCTCGATGACTAAGCTCTTTAGCGACGAAACGCCGGATTACCAGAACGACGTCCAAGCTGGTATATCACAAGTGGACTCTTTATTACTGTGTTTGCAATTGTTCAAGATAAAATCTATTTTGGAAAGAGAAGAAATGAGCACTGAACCACTGACATATGACAAGTGAACTCTTTATTTACTGTCTTTGCTATTGTTTAAGATAAAACTGATTTGGGAAAGAAACTACTTTTGCCATTTTTATGGACATTTATTGTTTGTTTACAAATATTTGCCTTGGTGATATAAACCTAAAAGAGGGCAAGTACTTAAAACATTCCCTGCACTAGGTTGCCATGTCATGTGGCCCAGGTATATGGGCTTAGGATCCAGCCTAAGTGTCCCATGCTCTTGTCCTGCCCAGACCTGACTCTCATAATACCTCTTTGCGGGCTCTTACACCAGTACCAACTCAGCCAGCTTTGGCTCAGCTCAATGAGGAAATTATGCTGGTTGTCAGGCTTCAGCGAATCAGCTTCCTCCCCCTGTGGCAGTAGATAAGAAGATCAAATGAATGGAGCATCTTACCAGTTAGAATCTTTAATAATCACAGTGAGAGAACAAAGAACACATCTTCTAGAAATGGCGGTGCTCCCAGTTAAGGGTTACCCCATCCTTCCATCCCTATTAATCCACATCACTCCTATGTCTTGTAATCTGAGTTTGTACGCTTTGTGCTTTCTGTTCTGAGACTTTCTGAGCTCTGCTTGACCTTGGGGAGAGTGGAGACAGTGAATCTGTTAACCCCCTCTCTCTCAGTGTTTCTTCTCCTAGCTCTTCCCCATCCAGCATTTCCCAGCTTCTGCCTTCTGAACTATGCCCCTCGGCAAACCACTGTTCCAAATCTATACTGTCCTCCTGCTCCTGGGAAGATTCAGGATCGGGTGAGGAGGTGGCTCCCACCATTCTTCCTTAGTGCAGCCCTCCTCAGCACGGTCCCTGACATTGGTGGATTTCCCCCCAAGGTAAGATTGGGGACTTAGCACCAGCTGAGCCCAAGGACTGGCCACCTGAACTAGAGAACCACTGCACTGGAGGTTGCTCATTCCAGCCTATTTTTCCCATAGGGTTGCCCCCAACATGTGCTGAAAATCCTTGATCTGTCAGACACTGACGTTTCTCCTAAGTCAGAATACAAAGCTTGAAATTGAAACTTCATTTTCAGGCCAGATGTCTAAGGAATGTTTAAGAGTTTTGATACCAGCAAATTACGTAGGGGTCTCCGGTGTCTTCAAATGTTTGACTTCAAGTGAAATGAGAAAAATTCACTGTGCTTTAGGCAACTTCCAGTATTTGTGGATACCTCCTTGTGAATAAATACAGAGTTAGGTTTATAAACAGAACTCATTTCATTTCCCTTGGAATTTCTCAGCTCCTTCACTAGTACCCCAAACTCACTTCCTTTTTTCTTTTTTCTTTTGAAATCTTTTTTAAAAATAAATAAATATTGGTTTTACAGTTTAGTTTTCCATTTACAAAAAAACAAAACACAACAATCCAAAAGTATAGAATTATTCTCCAAATTCTCCAGCTTCCATCCTCCCTTTCGTGGGATCCACTAATAATCATTTCCACCACATATCATATTATCTTCCATATATCCATAAATCTCTATTTTCTCCTTTGGTTCCTTTCACATTGTGAGCGTTATTTCAATCCTGCTAATGTTTTTAACAGTTTACAATGTTCTGTCAAATATATTACATTTTTTCCCCAGTCTTTGTTGAAGTTTTTGTCATCCTGATTCCTGATTTTTCCAGTCATTTTGGTCATCTCAGCATAGTCCATCAATTTTACTATCTACTCTTCTGTTGTAGGTATTGTGTCATCATTCCATCTTGGGCTAAGAGCAACCTGGCCGCCACCGTTGTGTACATAAATTGTCTTTTGTACTCCCTTCGTATCTCAGCACCTATAATTCCTAATAAAAAGGCTTCTGGTTTCTTTACAAATGTTATTTTGAACATTTTTTTAAGCTCATTACATATCATCTCCCAATATGTTTTATTGCCTTACAAGTCCACCACATATGAGAAAAGGTGCCCTCTTTTTCTTTCTATTTCCCACATATATTTGAACTGGTCTTATACATTTTAGCTAATTTACTAATTTTATTTGATTTTACATATGTAAATTACAATTAGTTACAGTACTAAATACATAACCATAAAATGATATTTCTCTGAATTTCAAGACTTTTCCCCATACCCACCATCAGTCCTATTGTCAACATTTCCAACTGCATATTATTTCATAGTCTATGTTTTGTATCTGTCCATAATATTTGGTACATGACAAGTGAGACTAAAACCCTGCTAATGTTCTCATCTGCTTACAGTGGTCTCCTAAATAAATTAATTAAACGTTCCCCATTCTTTCTTGAATTTATTGTCTTCTTTGTCTCTGAGTTTCCCAGTCATTTTTGCTATTTCAGATAGACTAAGAGCTTAGTTTGCCATTCCCGTCTGGCAGGGACTCTTTCTTCATCTCTGGGCTAGTAGCATCCATGCTGTTGTTGTCACATACATAAAGAGTCTTTACCAAACTCATCTTCCTTTAGGTGGAAATTTGGCGGCCCATTATTTGGTCACAGTAATCAGCAGCAGTGTGTGTGTGTAGATGTGAGCAAAGAAAAGGAACAGAGTTTCTTTTGTGAACCACAAGAGAAGAGCTTGGGATTACCCATGGGCTGGACAACTGTGGCCTTAATCCTTTTCCTTGCTTATTTTCAAATATATCAAGTAACTTTTTCAAATCGCAGCAGAAAGCAATCCTTACCCTTCGAGGCTCGAGCTGACGCAGTCCAAGGACATAAAAGGCACAGATGTTCAGTGTCCACAGATTGCATTTCTTTTAAGGAGAGTAAAAGTTATAAGGTCTTACATTCCCCCCTAGGGAATTTCTTTTTGATTGCTATGAACCTGTGACTCAGTCCAGTAATGACAATGTATCACAGCTTAGTTCCATCTGTGACCATCTGTTTGTTGAATTTTTATAAAAGCTGAAACTCTTTAGGGAAGCCACTTCTCAATCTATATATCTTACACTGCATCTGAATGCATATTAATTGACCCAGGGAAAGAGCACATCCGGTATATTTAATTGCTTAGTGCTATTCTGTAGACAATGGAACCATTCTTAATTATCTACCATTGAGCATTGCTGTAATTTCATATCCCATCCTATCTTGACTGCTTACCCCAACATTAAATCCCAATGATATTTCGAAATGAGTAATAGGCTTTACACGGGCAGTTGATTTTAATTAAGTTCAAGAAATTGGGGGGGGTGTTGCAGGGTACAGTGGTACCTTGGTTTTCAAACTTAATCCGTTCTGGAAGTCAGTTCCAAAACCAAAGTGTTCCAAAACCAAGGCGCAGTTTCCCATAGAAAGTAATGCAAAATGGATTAATCTGTTCCTGACTTTTTAAAAAACACACATCCTAAAACAGCAATTTAACATGAATTTTACTATCTAACGAGACCATTGATCCATAAAATGAAAGCAATAATCAATGTACTGTACTATAAAATAAATAAGACAGTATTTTAGATGATAAAAATTAAAATTTATTTATTTTTTCTTACCTACACTGATGATAGTCATTGTTTGGATGGGGGGCTTTTATCCATTTCCGCAGTCAAACAATCAATTCATCAGTAGCTGAACTGGGTTCCACACAGTCACAAAAACACATTAACCAAAAAAAGCCTCAGAAACAAAACCACAAAATAAATAGCAAAAACAAAAGCACCAAACTAATCCGTTCCGGAAGTCTGTTTGACATCTGAAATGTTTGAAAACCAAGAAACTACTTCTGATTGGTGCAGGTGCCCCAGAAACATTAGCTGACAGCCACATCAGACATAGAGCTTCTGAAAATCATTCGAAAATCGGAACACTTACTTCCAGGTTTTCGGTGTTTGCGAACCAAGGCATTTGAGAACCAAGACACCACTGTATTTAGGATTGTTAACCTCCATCTGTAAAAAGAATAAAATAAATAAAGAGTTTCATATCAGAAATGCAAGCAAATTCCCACGAATGCATGGCATATTGAAGTGGTAACTGGAAGTACAATTTTCATTTTGCTGATTTACAGGTATTTAGTTGCAGATCAAATTGAGTCCGGGATACATTTGACAACGAACCAAGACTTAAGATGGTAACAGTTTTGGTCACAATCCTAAATCACTTTAAGATCTCTTCTTCATCTTCTTTTCCCCCAAATGGGAGAGATGTAACAATAATATGAAGTCTGTGTTTGAAATCAGTGGGACCTCAACAGTATAATTCTCTATAAATCTAAGCAAATGTAATCCCCATAGGCTTCAATGGGCCTTACTCCCAAGGAATTGTGCAGAGTATTGCAGCCTAAATGACTTAATTTGCCTGAATCTTACCCTTTCATTATGGAATCACACCAGTTCTCTGAGCGTTGCAGTATGAGGATTGCTTCAATTGAATCAGACGAACTAATAAAACTGTAGTATAAAAGTGCTTAGAAAAGAATAAAAACATAAAATCTGGCAATTGAAACATACAAAAAAGGGTCTGATCTTATGGGTCAGGAAAACCTGGGCAAAAAGATATTTCTTTACAAAATGTGTGTTGCCTCTTTGTGTGGGCTGAATAATAAGGCAGATTGGGGTGATTCAAAGGTCTTTTACTTCTTCCTGAGTCAAAGTGTGATGTCAATAACATCCCCTACACATATCAAGTCGAATGAGGACTCACACAAAGTATTAACTTGCTCTGTTTTGCCTATATCTTTAGAAATCTCTAAGTCCATTAGGTATTTTACCCAAGGATGACCTTGCTTAAATGCTTCATTTAAGTATTTTTCAAGATTTTACATTGCTCTGACATATATATATATATATATATATATATATATATATATATATATAATGTTGGAGGACACAGGATCTGTGCTCTAAATGTTTTGGTCATGAGCACTGGAAAGGAAAGGCTAGTATGTTATATAAAGTTATCAAAAATGTACAAGCAAGAATGCACATCACTTGACCACCTCTTAATTATTTTAAGATAAGGAAGAGCAAGAGGCAACCCCCCCACTCCCAACTCCTATAAGAGATTATGAAAGAAAATGAAGGGTTCTTCCACAAGATGCCCCTTGACCAATATTTCTGCAATTTGTCAGACTTAATCCATTCTAGGGGGACTCCCAGGTCTGTGAAATTCATTTATTTTGGCCCACAGGGGAAAAGAATTATAGTATTTTTAAACAGGGAACCAGGCAGAAGGCCTTCTCAGTAGTGGCACCCTCTCTGTGGAATGCCCTCCCATCAGAACAACTATCTGACTTTTAGAAGACATCTGAAGGCAGCCCTGTTTATGGAACTTTTTAATGTTTGATATTTTATCATGTTTTACTATTCAGAAACCCAGCCAGGTGGGTATTATTATTATTATTATTATTATTATTATTATTATTATTATTTTCCCCATTATAGTGAATGGAGAAACACAGAGCTTCATTTTAAAAGAGTGCCTCAGAACCCACAACACATATTGCAATCGAAACAGAAAGAGCACAGAGTTACTCAGAAAGAGTAAATTCCATTTCTATGGCATTTACTTCCAGATATTATTAGGGGTGCAGCTTAATTTGTATGCACGTTTATGATGGACTGCACTGAAGTTTGTTTGCCTGTTTTGCAGTTTTCTATAATCTATTTATTATTACTATTATCTGTTAAATTTGTATACCAACCTTCCTCCGCAGAGCTGTGTGGTTCACAATTCTATCCAGACTCTCCCCTCAGGAGCCTTCCAGGTGGCTTACAAAGGTTATTAAAAAAAGAAAGAAAAAAGAAAATAATAATTCTGAAACTAGTACAAACCAGTAAAATCTTAAAAGGGCAACATAGGCTAAAGGGGAGAGAGAGCTAGTAAGATCTGTTTGATGTTAATAAAAACTCAGAATAGGGTGGAATTTGCATGCAGGTGGAATTGGGCAAGAGGGAGCAAGACAGATTGGCTTGAGGAGAAAATCCCACTGCTGTATTTCTGAAGTTCCAACATATAATGTAAACTATAGAAACTGTTTGTGCCCACGTTCTAATGAGTGTCATTTGCATGTGCGTTCACAGAAGTTCATTTAGGTTAACTGAGATTCTGCACAATTTCCTTCTTAAATACGCCTTTATTATTTCATTACAACAACTTCCATCTGAGTGTCTCACAAGAGCATTTAATTTGGATTTAATGCGGTGGGTACTGTTTATTAATTAAACACCAAATGATTATTAAAACATACTTATTGAGATTTAACAGCTTTGTCAAAAGATGTGGCTGGCTGCAGACATAATTAGCTAGGAAATAATGAACATGTTATTATGCCGGTATATTTTATATATTAAAAAGCGCAACAGTGTTCACTTGTGAAAATGAAATACACGGACACTTTCCAACATTATCTATTAGCAAAGAAATTAGATACACAATATTTGAAACCTCAAAATTATATGTACATCTTCATGCAAGAGGCAAGGAAATTTGGGCAAATTCTAAGTCGTAGCTGTTATGTCTTTGCAGTAACAATGATTATTTGCAAATAGGCTTATTAACCCAAGATTTAACCCTGCAAATGCAACCTGTAGAAAACAAGGCTCCACTATCCAAAATATCATCCAGCTGTTGATCTATACTATGATATCACATTGGCCCATGTCCTCCTGACATCTCACTGTTTTCCCCAGTATCTCCCTGCTTTACATCAGTTTCTGCTGGAGATTGGGGGTGGGAATTTGGTTTGCATTTTAATCAATACATGAGTCAAAACACAGCTGTCCTTCCAAATTCACATTTCGCAATGCAGTCCTCCAACTGAAAAAGCATACAAAGCAACACAAAGAAGGAAACTGTGTACAGCCATGCACATACAAGTGGAAATTAAAATTCAGAGATGTATTATATTAGGGAGAATTGCTTGCTAAAACGTGTAAGCAAAATTACATACAAAACGAGGTACATTGTGAGAAAGACACTTGAGGGTGTGCTTGAATATTTCCCTTGACTTTTTTTTTTTACAAACTGATGTGGAAATCAGGTAAACAGAACTTAAGAACGGGAAAAAAGAGGAAAGGAGAGAAGCCAAAATTGACAGATTCATCCATCCTATTGTCTACCACTGGCAGGAAGTGGAAAAATACATTGCCAGAAGGCAAGTTTTGCTATACATTACAGAACAGGAGGAGGAAGAGAGGAATGATGCCATTTTTAGTGGTATCTCCTTGCTTTTTGTAGCATCAAGTTCCACCCTGGATTTTCCATTTTCTGCTTAGTGATGTACTACGCAGGTAGCATTGATCTGTTCACAGCATTTGATTATACATCACCAGAAAGCGGAGAAAAAGCTCTCCATTCTGCTACTGTATATATATATTTAAAAAATTGCTGCTTTGTGCTTCAAAGAATTGCGATCTGAAATAAAAAATACAGAATCCATGTCTCTACAGATAGCCTACCATTCATTCTGGCTATCACCTTGTGGCAGAGTGGCAAATACATAAACCAAAAACAGCAATGTGAAATGGGAGTCCATTATGTAATAAGTAAAACACTGAAATGACTGTGTACTGTAAATGATGAGTATATCTTTTCATTGGTCCATGAACATAAAAATGTGACTGGCAATAAAGGCTGTGATTTCAACCAGTAGTGGCAAGGTTTTGAGGTTTATGAAGAGAAGTTTAAATGTTAAATTTCAAGTGCAGCTTATACTTACTGAATGTGATAAACCCTAACTTTTCACATATGGAGTTATCAATGTAAACGAACCAGAGACATAACACGGGAGGAAATTTTATTTATATTAAAAATGGAAAGGGCACATTTGCCAATAACTTAAAAGGAGTTTTACACAACTGATCTATGAATTTCAACCAGGAAGGGGGAGACATTTGATCCAGTTTGCATTTCAAGGCAAGCCTACCTAATTCACTATTTCTGAAAGAATATGCAAATGGAAACAGCCATTCTTTGACATTCACATTTCTCTGAATTTTGCAATACATTCGTCCAGTGTGTATGTGTATATATATATATATATATATATATATATATATATACACAGTGGTGCCCCGCAAGACGAATGCCTCGCAAGACGAAAAACTCGCTAGACGAAAGGGTTTTCCGTTTTTTGAGTCGTTCCGCAAGACGAATTTCCCTATGGGCTTGCTTTGCAAGACGAAACGTCTTGCGAGTTTGTTTCCTTTTTCTTAAAGCCACTAAGCCGTTAATAGCCGCTAAGCCACTAAGCCGCTAAGCCGCTAAGCCGTTAATAGCCGCTAAGCCGCTAAGCCGCTAATAGCCGCTAAGCCGCTAAGCCACTAATAGCCGTGGTTCACAAGACGAAAAAACCGCAAGACGAAGAGACTCGCGGAACGGATTAATTTCGTCTTGCGAGGCACCACTGTATATATATATATATATATATATATACACACACACATATATATCAGCGAAAATAATGTACCTAGATGCATTATGTCAGCAGAACATGCTTTGCAAAAAAGTGCTATATAGTCATACTTTGGTTCTCAAATGTAATCCATTTCGGAAGTCCATTGGACTTCTGAAAATCAAGGCATGGCTTCCAATTGGCTGCAGGAACTTCCTGCACTCAATTAGAAGCACAGAAGCCGCGTCGGACATTTGGCTTCTAAAAATAGCTCGCAAACCAGAACACTTACTTCCAGGTTTGCGGCCTTCGGGAGCCAAAACGTTTGAGATCCCAGCAGTTCAAAACCAAGATATTGGACAAAGTTGCATACAAAACTGCATATTAGGCGAAATTCTAACTAAAATGCTGCTGAATTTTCAGGATCCCCTTTATCTTCTTCTTTGTAAATTAACGTGGAGAACTAAATATATATGCACAATTGAGCATAGAAAAAACCTAAGAGATCACCAAGACATGGGATAGAGTTCATCCCTCCTTTAGTAATTTTCCCAGTGTAAGTAAATGGTTCAAATTCATTCCTTTTGAGGAAATACCACACTGACCTTGGTTACAAAAGTGGTAAAAGACCTTCTGATTCTATCTGCTCATGCTCTTTGGGCAGCAAACATATTCTCCAACACAACAGCTAACTGCCTGCCTGCCTGCCCCAATTCAAAAACATTTGCAAATCTTCCACATCCCCCCAATCACACTTGAGAAGGTTTGTGTGCTTGATCTGACTTTAGCAAAATTATTCAGATTTGATTAAGACCAACTACAGGCAGAATCGACACATTTGCATTTTCTTCACCCTGGTCAAAATGTAGATATGAGTTTTGTGAGGGGTGGGGTTAGCTGACTTTGTGGTCACAAAGCATTTTGGTATTTGTTTTCAGCAGCAAGCTGTCAATTAATTAGATAATCTCTCCAAATAAGGAGATTAACTGAATTATCAATACGACTCTGCGGGTCAAAGCCAACAATAGCATGAAAAGGATTAAATGAAAGCTTATTTAATGTGTGCCCTGCATACTAATCAGGAACAGTAATTAAGAGGTGGTTGTTTAAAGGGATGCTGCAGTCCGTGGCATTTTGCTCTCTTCCTTTTCCCCTGTACGTTAGCGAAAACATTCACTTTTGCTGAAAAAAAGAATGTTCAAAGAAACGATTGCACATAATGAATGGATGAAGGACAAGACACCTATGTACATATCACTAACTGGATAGCAAATCACAAGGACAAAATGGTCTTGGAGTCATAGCCCTGTAGCCATAATTGGAATCCCTCCAATCTGCTGTTTTGGAGGAGGAGCTGCATTTATTTCTCTGCTGGTTTTCCTTCCCCACCCAGTGGAAAAACAAAGTGGAATTCCAGCTTGCTGTAGCCCAATATGTTCCTATGCATGTTCAGACAGGTTTGAGTTTCTCAGCATCTGTTTTTCATATGCAGGGGCAAGTTCAAATCCGTCATGAACATTACTTTATGTTCAGCCTAATAGTCAGGGACTGGGCAGAGGAGGAATGGTAGAGACCGCCTCCCCAGCCTGACCCTTCCAGAGAACAGGAAGACACCATAGATTGACAACAGTGGTTTGTGTGGCGATTCCCGCCCCCCCCCCCCCAGTTGGATAGAAATGAAGACACAGGACACCAGAATTTAAGGTTAATGGGTGAAAAATGGCCACAACTTTATTGATTACAGGTAAGAGCGGTATTGGCTTTAGGCATTGGTCCTATCAGACTATCCGGCATAAAACCGAAGGGGTTAACACCAACAGGGGGAGCCCCTGAGATGCACATCCCTAGGTGCTCCCCAAGGGGTCACCACTCGGGAGCACGCTTTAGGCCCTAGCCTCCATAGGCTTCGGACGAGGCAACGCCCCCCGGAATCCTTTATCGGACCACCCCTCAATATTTGGGGGAGGTGGTGGCACTCCTCCCCCCCCAACTCATCAGCATAATAATACCCTTACCAATGCCTAACCGCCCAAACCAAAGATGTTGTGACATTTTGCTACGAGGTAGGCAAAAAAAACCAAATGGCTTTAAAAACAATGCCAATTAGCCAAGTGGAAAAACTCCTACCAGGCCCCTTGCAGCGACCAACCGAGGTCCATAGCAAAGTCAGAGGGAAAACCTAGAGGGCGGGTGGGTGGGAAACTGCAGCTGAATCGAAGAAGAAAAGGGGCGTTTTCGGGCCGCACTGTCCTTAAATGACCCTAGCCTCACCCCTGCAGCCAGCCCAGGCTATTGGCTGGCCCAGGGTATGATGCGGCCCGAGGATTCCCCTGATCGCTCGGGGCTGCAGCCAGCCCCGCATGGATGATGGTGGGCGTGAGCCCGCAACCCCCCCTCCTGATGTCAGGAGTGGCTTTGCGGGAGGTCACAGCACAGAGGCAGATGAGGGCAGAATTGATAGCTGGGAAATATCGACTCACAAAAATTTATCCACACCCCCCGTATAGCAGATTATCGTTGTCCTTTACTTCTCTACGCAGATGATGCGGTACTACTCTCTTACTCCAGAGTGGGTTTAAGGAGGGCACTAAAGATTTTTGCATCATATTGCCATTCTAATCATCTGTCTATCAACCACACCAAGTCCAAAGTACTGATATTTTCAAGGAGTCGAAAATTATATTCATGGAAATTGGAGGGCACGAAAATTGAACAAGTACATAAATTTAAATATTTAGGAATTTATTTTCAATATAATCTAGGGTGGAAAGAGCACGTTGAATATCTTCAAAACAAGACAAAAGCCCTTTCACACTCCCTCCTCCGTTTTTCTACTCTGAGGGGCCTTATTCATTCCTGCGGCCTTGAAAGTGTATAGCATCAAAGTGATGGCCACAATGGCCTATGCTGCACCTTTATGGGCTGCCTTTGCAAACCTTTCACCTTTAGAGTCGCTTCAAAGCCAATTCTTACGCCGACTTTTAAAACTACCAACATGCGTAAGTAATGCGGCTATTCGCTTAGAAATGAAGATCCCCTCAGTGGAGTTAGTTTTATGGAGGAGAGTTTTGATTTATTGGATATCCCTATGGCATAAACTACCGAACCACTATCTCATTCAATGCATGTGGCGGGATGACTTTACAAATTTGTGGTCAGGAAAATCCATGCCAAATTGCTGTCCTATGAGATCTCGCCCACGGAATTGCTCAAACTGGATCTAAACGCGGCAAAAGGTGTATAAATCAAAGGCTGGATGATGTGGAGCTATACCAAAATTTCTTAGCTGGTGGTGGAGCCTGCTCCCGTTAAATCTCGGCATAACCCCTATCTATCGTGCTCCGCCCTACTCAACATCGCTTACAGCCGCATCTCACCGATATGCCTTCATTAGAGCCAGGTTCAATGTTTTCCCAACAAACGTGCTGAGACATAGATTCACTAAGGGCCAAGTCCCTTCAATGTGTGCTTGTGAAATGAAAACATCTGAATCTTTACATCATGTTATGTTTATCTGCCCTATGTACAGTTTAGCTCGCGCTAGTATACTAAACTCCATAATCCAGCCTATGGCTGACAAACCAGTAGACCTACAGCTTGCCTGGGTTCTTCAAGATGTAGATCCTTATATTACTCTACAGGTTGCTAAATTCCTAACAGCCGTTCTCTCGTACAAGAGACGGAATGGAATGTTAACTGATTATTGATACTTATAAGAATTTTTGATATTGACATCAGAAATTGATTTAGCGTAGTGCCCAAATTTTTAACTTTAATCTTAAATTTCTGTTTTGATTTGCCAATATTTGTCCTTGTGAGCTGTGAATTGTGTTATATTACTTGTGGCTTGTTCGAGACCGCTGTTTTATTTGATTTGTTTTGTGTGTTGTGCTTTATGATGGGCGTAAAGCCGAATAAACATTTTGGTTGGAAGCACCCGGGGAGAGACAGCTGGCAGACTCAGTGTCCTGGAGTGCCTTCCATCAACTTCGGCTGGTGACCCAGCTACGCCCCTATCTGGACAGGGATAGCCTAACTACTGTTATCAATGCTCTGGTAACTCCAGGGTTAGATTACTGCAATGCGTTATACGTAAGGCTGCCTCTGAAGACGGCTCGGAAACTTCAGTTGGTGCAGAATTCAGCAGCCAGGTTGCTCACCAGAGCAAGATGGTTTGAGCATATTACACTGATCCTGGTCCAACTGCACTGGCTACCAGTTAGTTTTTGGGCCCAATTCAAAGTGCTGGTTTTGACCTATAAAGCCTTAAATGGTTCAGGACCAGAATACCTCAAGGACCGCCTCTTTCCATATGAACCTACTGAGACCCCAAGATCATCTTCTGAGGCCCTTCTTTGTGTGCCTCCTCCTCAAGAGGTCCAGACAACACCCAGGGAAGTTCGCCTGGCGCCTTCATTATACACTTTTAGGCGCCAGGCAAAAACGTTCCTTTTAAACCAGGTTTTTGGTTGATCTGATTGACATCCAACACCCTTTTTGAATGTGGCTTTGGGGGAGGGGGTTATTGGGTTACTGCTTTTGTTTTTATTTTATACGTTGTGGTCTTGTTGTGAACCTCCCTGAGACCTCCAGGTATAGGGTGGTGTATAAGTTGAATAATAAAAAATAATAATTAGAAAGCATTTAAGACCCCCCCCCCAGAACCTTGCGGGTATTGAAAGTAGGAGAGCAGAAAGCTCAGAGGCAGAAGGCACAGATCAGTCACCGTAGGGATGATGTGATGGCCTGGGATTCGGACTCGGAGGCTGAACCTGAGGAATCCCAGCCTGCACAGGAGTCCCCGCTTCCAGAACCAGCTGAGCCGGGGCTGGGGCTTGAGCCTGAAGGGTCCTCACCTGTGCTGGATCCTCAGGTGCAGGCACCAGCTGAGTCTGCTCTGGCCCCTGAGGGGATGGAGGACCCATTGCCTGCAGGTGCTCCACTCTCAGCCCCGTCAGGAGAAGAAGAGGTTGCCTCTGGGTCCGGTAATCCTCCAGCCTCTCCTGAGCTGCAGAGGCTCAGGGCAGAGAGGCGGAGGGAACTAAGTTCTTGCAGGAGGAGTGCTCGCCTCCAGGCCAGGAGAGGCGAGTCACCTGTGGACTGGGGCCGCCCTATGCCTCGGCACAGATAAAAGCCATCCAGCCCAGTCCCAGGTAGCAGGAGCAACATTGTTGGTAGCCTGTTCCTGCCTGCACCTTGTCCTGCTCTTCTGCCAGAGTTCCTGACCTCACCTGACTCCCTGCCTTGGACCCTGCTTCAGCTTTGATGGACAGCCTCCATACCGAACCCTCGACCTCGGACTGGACTCGGACCTAGCCGCACGGTTAGCCCTCGGGACCAGCACAGATGATGAATAATAGAAGAGACAAAGAGCGTGGGATTTCACTCAGAGCAACACCATTATTCCAGGAGGCTGCATTTCTAAGCCTCTCCGTGTGAATATTGAATAAAACACATTGGTAAGAATTTCCTTGTCTTATCCATTCTTGGCAACCTGCTTGGGGGGGGGGGCTGGATTCTCTGAAGCCTGACACTAATATAATTCACACAGTTGTTGAGAGGACAGTGATAACTCAGCCTGAACATTTAGAACATAGGAAGTCTGACCATTGATCCATCCAGCTCAGTATGATCCACACAGGGGTTCAGGCAGGGGTCTCTCCCAGCCCTGCTTAGAGATGCCTGGGGGCTAGATCTGGACCTTTTGCATAAAAAGCAGTTGCTCTATCACTGAGCTTAGCATTTCTGTACTTTGGGCTATGGAGGCGAGGACCTAAATGCATCATCAAACTATTATTTCTTTTAATAAGGAATTTCCGGTAGAAGAGGAGCCGCAAGATGGTGAATCAAAACAGGCTGTTGACCCAGAATATCACAAGTATAATATTTTAAAGCTTGTGGTTTTTTTGTTGTTTTTTTAGGGGTGCAGGTTCACGCCTAAAAAGAACTGCTCTGGGATGAATTGAAGACTATTCATGTATTCCTGTGTGTGCTGATTTAGAAGTAAGCCCCACTGAATTAAATACAGCTCACTCCCAATAAAGCGTGTACAGGATTGATGCCTAAGGGTTCTAGCCACCTAGGTTTTACTCAGGGCAAATGATGACGATGATGATTAGAAATTATATACCACCCTATACCCAGAAGTCTCAGAGCGGTTTTGTCAGGCTTTGGGGAATCAGATCCCTGCCCCGGTGGCAGTAAATAAGCAGATCAAATGAAAAGAGAGTTCTTACCAGATAAGTGATTTAATAATCAGAGCAAGAAACAAAGGAATGCGTAGCTGTATGTTGGGTAATCTGAGCTTGTTGCTGTTGTGCTTTCTGTTCTAATGCTTTCTGAGCCCTTCTAGTCTTAGGCTAAGGGGGGAGGGGGTCAGGAATGCTGACCAAGGACACTGAATCTGCCAGCTATCTCTCTCCTGGTCCTTCCTCTTATTGCTGTTCCTCACCCTGTATTTTCCAGCTTCTGCCCTCTACACTATACCCCTCCGCAAACCACTGTTCTAAATCAATACTGTCCTTCTGCTGTTAGGAAGGTTCAGAAAAAGGGCGGTGGCAGCTCCCACCATTCCTCCTCAGTCCAGCCCCTGACAGGTTCAGAGGGGGAAAAAATCAAAATATAAAACCACAAAATATATAATCAAAATCCATTTAAATTACTGGATGTAAGTTACCGTATTTTTCGCACTATAAGACGCACCAGACCACAAGATGCACCTAGTTTTTGAAGGAGGAAAACAAGAAAAAAAATATTCTGAATCTCAGAAGCCAGAACAGCAAGAGGGATCACTGTGCAGTGAAAGCAGCAATCCCTCTTGCTGTTCTGGCTTCTGGGATAGCTGCGCAGCCTGCATTCGCTCCATAAGACGCACACACATTTCCCCATACTTTTTAGGAGGGGAAAAAGTGAGTCTTATAGAGCAAAAAATACGGTAGTTATGTTCATTAATTTTATTGTATCTACTCTGAGCAGGACTAGCATTGGATGCAAACCTAAATTGCAAAAAAAATAAAGAAAAAATTAACATAGTTAAGGACACTTGTTCAGAATTCAAACATATCAGTGCCTCTAAAAAATGATCACCAATATTTTGAAATATGGGTGGAGTCAGCCTGGATCTACAGTTCTCACGCAAGTAGAGCACGGGTGTGTTTTTCAAGAAGATACAGGATACAGATGGACTGCAGCTAACATGTGTACTAGGCTTCAAACACTAGTGGTGGGAACATGTTGAAGACGGAGGAAATAGTAATTATAATTATCATTTATATTGGCCGCCTAATGCTAAAGCTTTAAAATCAAGCAAAAGCAGGTCCACATAATGCAACTGTTAAAAGAATAAATCAAATTACAACCTGACAAACATCCCCTGCACACACACACACACACACCAAAAGCAAGCATTAAAAGTACAGCTTTGCTGAACAGTAAAATAAACTATGTGAATCCACTGATCTTTGAAAATTTCTGACTCAAGGTCACTCCTACAGCACCACCTACTGGTCTTCGTAACAGATTCCAAGCTGGGAGAAGGAATATTAAATGCTGATATTAAATGCTAAACTTTGCAACAATCAGATATATTCTTTTTGATATAAATAATAATAATAATCAGGGAAATGTAACTCAACACGTTGGTGGTCCTGTGGAAAATATACTGGTGGCCGAAATCTTTGTAAAATTACACTGTCTAATTTTTATTAAGTTTTACTATTTTACGTTTTAGAATATTCATTTGAACAACCTTAAAATATCAATGACTTCCCTTCTTGACCTTCCATGGTTCATTTTACATATCATAAATCCCTGAATATTTTATATAAACTAAACCATTCAGTATTCCATTTTTACATCCATCATAACTTATTTACACTGTTGGATTTATCTTAATGCTGCCAACGTTTTCAAATGCACACAATTTTCTCCCATATATTCATTAAACATTTTCCAGTCTTCTTTAAACGTATACATAAATAACCTTTTTCGACACCTGGGAATTTCAGTCTGAATTATCTCCAACAAAAAGGACACTCTCTCTTTTTTAAGTACCTTTAAACATTTTTTTTCCAATTCATTATAAATTATTTCCCAATACTCTTTTACCCTTTTACAAATCCACCACATATGAAAGAACATACCCTCAGCCTCATTGCATCTCCAGCACTTAACTGATTGAGTCTTATACATCTTAGCAAGTCCATTCGGAGTTAAATACCCTCTGTAAATCATTTTCAGGTATTTCTCTTTCAAGGAATAACATGCTGTGAACTTCAAATCTATATTATGTCCTGTATCTATTGCCCATTGTGTGAAATGACACTTTTAAACTTGTTCCTAAAACTTGAACTGTGGGAATAGGGGCCGGAGAAAAAGCTGCCCAAGTATGTGGATGACACCAAGTTATTCAGGTTCAGGGAGCTTGAAACAAAAAAGGGCTTGTGCGAAGCTCCAAAATGATCTCTCCAGACTTGTGGGGTGAGCGATAAATAGCAAACATGGTTTGATGCAAGTGTAAAGAGATGTGTGCAGGGAAAACAGTCCTGATTTCACATATAAAAAGGTAAAGGACCCCTGGACGTTTAAGTCCAGTCAAAGGCAACTATGGGGTTGCAGCACTCATCTTGCTTTCAGGCTGAGGGAGCTGGTGTTTATTCACAGACAACTTTCCGGGTTATGTGGCTAGCATGACTAAATCGCTTCTGGCACAACAGGACACCATGATGGTAACCAGAGTGCACAGAAATGCCATTTACCTTCCTGCCACAGCGGTACCTATTTATTGCACTGGCGTGCTTTTGAACTGCTAGGTTGGCAGAAGCTAGGACAGAGCAACGGGAGCTCGCTCTGTCACAGGGATTCGAACCACCGACCTTCCAGTCGGCAAGCCCATGAGGCTCAGTGGTTTAGACCACAGCACCACCTGTGTACCCATATATCCATGTCATATATCATAGTATATATGATTTAACATATATAATAAACACAGCCTTGGGGTGCTGGTGGAGTGCTCAATTAAAATGTTGACATGCACTAACAATTCAGCATCAATACAAACAGCAGGTGAAACAAAAACTTTCACAGGATCAACTGGTTGTTTTGAAAGGGGAATTGGGATTCCAGGTATACAGAACTCTCCTTCAGGCTCTGGATATGAGGGAAATTTTAAAAATGAACTTACTGGACTGTTGGGCTGAGCATTAGAGAGGTTTATTGGCTGCTGTAGTTGGTTGGCATGGAGATGCCCTCACAACAATGCAAACATGACATTATGATGTCACAAGCAGGATGAGTTCCAAGCCTTTGCAATGTGAGAGAGCTAACATTATGACCGAGCCCTATGAAAATGGATTTTCATAGCAGGTGATGATAAATAGTTTTATAGCGGCTTGGAAACTTTATGCTTTCTGAATGCCTTGTTAATCAAAGAGTTAGCCTTATGCGTGTTTGTTTGGGCTGATTCACAATATTGCTTTCTGTGACATGTTGCTTGTTCCTAATGAAAGTATTGTTTGACTGTGGATTTTGATATTTGTCCAATGGACTGATTTAACTTCATCGTCCTTTTGCAGAGAGCTATGTTTTAGATTTAGGTTCATCATAGTGCAACTCATCCACTTTTGTACTGTGATGGCAGCCTCGTATTACAGGGCCATTTTATACCGTCTGCATTCCCTGCTGTCGCCTGAAAATAGTAATTTGAAATGTGACCGTTTGGGTATTTTTCACCCTGTTTGGGGCAATGCTGTTTTGACATGAGGAGAAAGTCACATGGATGGGTTGCGAAATTGAGTATGAAGACAATCAGGATGAATCTTTGTAACAAGTGATGATAAATAGATTTATTTGGGAAGTATGCTAACTTTACTATTGGGGGAAAGTTGCAAGAGCAAAAATAAACATTGCTGTATAGTCAGACTGAGTTACCTACATTTACTGGTCCCTGCAGCTGGCATGGAGGCAGTAGCCTAGGTTGAAAGCAAACATGGCATTCTGATGTCATCCATGATGTCACAAACAAGATAAGCTCAAAATGATCAAAAAGTGAGGAACAGTTAACAGTCAGACAGAGTCTGAACAAAGTCAGGATGGATCTTCATAACTGGTGAGTGTAAATAGGTTTATTTGGGAGCTGTATCAGCATTATCAAAGTTAAAAGATTTGCAGATTGCTAAATCCTAATCTGCCAATTTGTAACACCTTGCCCAAGGACCTAACATAAAGAATAAGAGGACAAGAAGAACATACATTTAAGGAAGATTGGAAAATGTTTATTGAATATATGAGGAGAGATTGTGTACACTTGAAAACATTGGCAGAATTAAGATAAATTCAACAGTGTAAAAAAGTGAATGGTTTAGTGTTTATGTAAAATATGCAGGAATTTATGTTATGCAAAATGAATCATGGAAAGAGAAGAAGGGAAGTCATTGATATTTCCTGTATATTTTAGAAGATATATTCTAATTACAAATAACATTTTTTCTTCTTAAGAAAAAACAACAACACCCATCTCAAAATGTTGTTGTATAAGAAAGCCAGCAGAGGGGGTACGAGTCAGTTAGCAGCTATCCTCAAGCTTAGCTAGGGTTGCCATATTTCAAAAAGTAAAATTCCTGACAACCAAAAAGCTCTTTTTAGGAAGACCCCAAAATTGTTGAACTTCTTTTTAGGAAACCACAAAACTAGTGATTTTAAGCTTTTTGAGCTGTTTCCACTGCTATTTCCATCTTGTAGCCATAAAAAATTCCCCCTGACACCATTATTTACACCCGAAAACCAGGACTTGTCAGCAGTGCTTTTTTCTGGGGGTACCCCTAAACATTTTGTGAATCTGTTTGGCCTCACTGAGGGGCAGTATGAATAGGAAAATGAGAGTACCCCTAAATATATATATATTTAAGAAATTAAGCCCTGCTTGTCAGGAATTTTCTTGATGTATGGCAAGCCTAAGCTTAGCTACCACAGACAGCAAACAAGTTGAGGATCCTAGTCTTGAATTTTCTCTTTCTAGCAGCGCAGTGGAATTCACCTGACTGTCTGTCACCAAGACTCTCGGGTAGGATTTACTGCACATCCTATGTTTGCAAAAATCTATATGTAATGAGGAAAATAATGGCTGTAGCCTGTAGCATAGTGGAAAAAAGATTATCTTGGATTGCAGAAGATCCCAGGTTCTTTTCTCTCTTTTTTGGAAAATAATTTTTATTTGGTTTTACAAATGCAGAGTTAGAACAACACAAAAGAAATACCCATATTTACAGATTCCTCTGAATGTCTAGACTCCCCCCCCATCACCTACATGGGTCTTATTGTCAATGTTTTGCACTGCATATTTTTTTTCATATTCCTTAATTCTTAGGAATGTTGAGTTGTGTCGTAGAGAGAGGTATCCTGCAATGGCTGCTAAGAAGGAACAACAACAACAACAACAACAACAATAATAATAATTTATTATTTATACCCCACCCATCTCGGTGGCTTCCAACAGAATATATATATATATATATATATATATATATATATATATATAGTGATAAAACATCAGTCATTAAAAACTTCCCTAAACAGGGCTGCCTTCAGATATCTTCTAAAAGTCAGATAGTTGTTTATTTCTTTGACATCTGATGGGAGGGCGTTCCACAGTGCAGGTGCCACTACTGAGAAACTCTCTGCCTGGTTCCCTTTAACCTTACTTCTTGCAGTGAGGAAACCTCCAGAAGGCTCTCGGCATTGGACCTCAGTGTCCGGGCTGAACGATGGAGGTGGAGATGCTCCTTCAAGTATACTGGGCCAAGGCCATTTAGGGCATTATAGGTCAGCACCAACACTTTGAATTGTGCTCGGAAACATACTGGAAGCCAATGTAGGTCTTTCAAAACCAGTGTTATATGGTCTCAGCAGCCACTCCCAGTCACCAGTCCGGGTCACCTTCAAAGGTAGCCCCACACAGAGCACATTGCAATAGTCCAAGAGGGAGATGACTAGAGCATGCACCACTCTGGCAAGACAGTCTGCAGGCAGGTAGGGTCTCACCCTGTGTACCAGATGCAGCTGGTAGACAGCTGCCCTGGACACAGAATTGACCTGCACCTTCATGGACAACTATGAGTCCAAAATGACTCCCAGGCTGTGCACCTGGTCCTTCAGGGGCACAGTTCCCCCCTTCAGGACCAAGGAGTCCTCCACACTAGCCCACCCCCAAGTACTTCTGTCTTGTCAGGATTCAGCCTCTATCTGTTAGCTGCCATTCATCCTCTAACTGTCATCACTTATGATTTTTCTTTCAGTGGATAGTACTTCAAATAATAAGAAGTGAAGCAATTGGCAGAACATTCCTTCATGCCTGGAGGTTCTCAGGATGTTAATGCTTCAATTTCCCTTTGATTTATCAGGGTCTTTTGAGCCACCCCTCTCTGCACAATATTTATTGTATGTTTCATTGTGTACCTCAGTGCTTATTATTTCCAGTTAAATTCCGTAAAATACCTTTATTATAGCCAATGAATTTTCACAGCACAGTATGTGAGCTTTTGAGTTGCCACAGACCTCTTTCTCTAGCCGGATGGTTTTCCTGCTGTGTCACACTGTTTTCCATTTTCACTTCTATAATGTGTGAAGAAAAGCTTCCAAGTGAAGTGAAATTCAAACCAGACTTCCTTTTTTTTAAAGTCCCTATACATTTTCTTCCATGAAGTTGTAAGCATCCTCTTTGGAGAATTACATTCTGTCATGCAACCCAATGGGTCATGTCTACTCATAATTAAGATTCATTGAGTTCAATGGAATTTATTCCCATCTCAGGAAACATTGTATAGGCTTGTAACTGTAATCATAATTTAATTATTCTTTCACAGCTTTCTTTTTTATCAAAATGCATAGGGTGGCAATTGGCCAAGTCACACTCAGACTGAACATAACTTAGTCCAGGGTAGGGATATAATAAAAAGGATTATAAGAAAGAGGGAGAAGGGAGAGCAGGCTTATCTACACAGAATTTACTTCAGTTGAGAATCATGGATATTGATTGTGTGAACATAGTCTGTAACATTGTGCCAACCCAGAGGTCAACATAATAATATGTTATATTTAAAAAAAATATGTATGCAAGTTAATACATTAGCAGGATTTAAAAAACAAAAACAACTCTTGTAATGTTATATATAATGTGTAAACTTGGAGGTAATTAGAGATAAAGATTTTATTGACATGCATAAATGAAGATAATACAAAGGAACCAGGGGAGGGAGGGGAGGGAAGTCACAGGATTAAAGTAATCTCAGAATGTGGATTTAAAATCAATTGTTTATATAGTTGTTTTAAATGTTTTAGTTTATGGGTTTTTTTTTTCTTTAATGCAACGATTTTGTTTTTCTTTTTTGTGAAAATTAATACAAAGATTATATAATAATGCTAAATTCGCAGTTCTGGGAAACGACCTGTGAAAATCAGAATAAATCATTGGCCTTTGGTTCTGGGCTCATATTCCAGTTTACATTAACTGGCATAGGGAAAGCTATTAGTTTTCAGCCATAATTAATCACCAGCTTTTCTAGTTCTGATTTTCGTGTTAAATTAGACAACTTTATGGGATAGGATTCCTGCCCTCACACACACACAATTTGTACTATTATCAACCTTTTTAAAAACATATTTTATGGTGTCGTTGCTTCCCTGGCTGCTACTTGTTCCTGAATCAGTCCAATTGTTGATATCCCCAAATCAGAGATTGTGGAATGAACAGAGCAATGTCTTAATACTACATTTGATGTGCTGATGCCACCAAGCATTTAAGGTGATGTGGAACAATCTAGCCAAACATATTTTGCCATATCAGAGATGAAGAACCTCCAACCTGGGGTTGGATCTGGTCCTCAGCAGATCCAGCGGAGAAGAGCAGCAACTTTGGTGTGTGTGTGTGTGAGAGAGAGAGAGAGAGAGAGAGAGCGGAGTGGTCCTGCCAACTTTTGACCTGGATCTGCCCACTACTGGGATGTCATTTCACTGAAGGAATGTAGTCTTTGGCAAGGGAATAATTTTCATCTCAAGGCTAGGTGAGGGCAATGAGAACTGTAAATAAGGACAAACAGAAGCAAACTAAATGGGAAAGCAAAAGCTTTTCAGATAAAGTGCTAGAAAATTTCTAGAAAGGGGCGGCATTTTTCAGCACTGACCAACATTTCTATGAACAATGTGAGGAACTTTAACTCGGTTCTAAG